TCTTTCTGGCGTGGAAAGTGCTATCGTCTAGGCCAACTAACTTCCTAATCTGCATTGCAGCAACTCAAGCTCTGCTAAGGTACAGATCCTGCGGCTGTGGAGCTTATTTGTGACTAACAGTAATCGCCATCCAATCATCACTGAGGAATCTTCAACAATTGAGTAACAAGAATGGCTCCACTTCCGCCTTCTGCCGCCGCAACCGAATCTAGCCGTTTTTTGCATGCACTCTCATTGGCCCGTTATACTTCCCTCGGACCACTGGGAATTGCTGTTATTAATGCGTGCTTTTTCCGCCGGGATACCAGAATTTTAAGACTTTGAAGTCAGTGGCTTTAACGGCATCAGACGGCGAGAGATGGCTAGAACTTCGGACTGCACTTGCGAAATGCAGACTTGCATCCACCACTGAGATGTTTCGCTTACCGGATGCTCATGGAAATGGTTTACCGATCAGCAAGTGCTCTGTTGGTTTATGCTTGCTAGAAGTGTTTGATCCCTATGCTTGCCACCTTCATCATCGCCGCAGATCATCTCCAGTATGACCCCATAAGGCTTTACTCATGTTTCTGCCTCAGCTTTGACCGGAAGTTCCCTTTACATTGACAAGTATGGAACCCTGGCTTTGCAATTCTGTGCAGGGTTCGTGGCTGGTGTTGCTTTTCCCTGAAGGAGTCCTGTTGTAACGTGATCTTTCTTTGTGACCTTTTGGCGCCGATGTTCTTCTTACCCTACACTGCTAAGGTTCGCTCTGATGCTCTCAAGATTGATCATGGAAGCTTGGATACCCCATACTCCGCATCCCACGCTCGAGGAGGATAGTCCCCCATGAGATTGTACGTAAGAGGTTGCAAGGATCATCAGTGTGGTCGGTTAGAGTGCATGCGAAATTATACCGGAATCAATGGAGAAGATGGTTGGAGACGATGTGTCAAGGAATTTCATGGAGCAGGTTCTCAATGTTGTCGTATTGGAGAAGATGGATCCTACGAGTACATTATATTGGAGTATGGCAAACCGGCCTCTCCAGTTATGCTGTTGCGTACGAATGAGGTTGTTGACTTACAGATTCTTCAAGATCTGTTGAGTGCTTATACTTGAGCTTGAAGTGGTAAGTTGGCTACTTTGACTGGTCATTGTGCGACCATCGCAGAAGGCCGTTTGTAATGTAGCAGAGATACAACTGTAGGAGTAAGCTTTGCAGCCTTGGTGCCTTAGGCAGTCAGATTAATCACCTGACCCTTCTAGTCAGGTGACTCTGGCCTTTCTCACGTGTGTGAGATCATGTGACACCACCTACTGAGACATCAGATGCAGTTTATGCCACTTTTGGCTTCTTCGATCCCTCGATTCTTGCAGATCAAATAATCGAGCCAATGAGAAGATCCACAGAAAGATAGGCTTTTGCTAGCGACTGCACTGCCCCATAAAGATCTTGAAATGTCGAATCCAAGTGGTTGATAATTTGGGATGGTGGAGAACCTCGGTGTATCCACCCGCAAAAACTGCGGCCTTCAGGCCTCAGGGGCAAAACGCTCTGCTTTAATGTCGACCGCAAACTAGAGTCCTTCTCATGGACATGGATCATGCATGATCAGTCTCTCTCCTATCTACTCCGTAATGCCGGAAGATTATGTTGTCGCCATAGTAGAATGTTGCCTAAGTCATATTCTCTTTGTTGTCTTCTGATCTTTCTTTTCGTGTTTATATTACCATGTGAAGGAGCGTTTGTACGGCATTCTCCATGCGAGACATCAGTCTTGAATCGCTCGTCGGACGTCAATCTCCACATTGACAGTGTACGCGGTCGCATTCATAGCTCCCAAAGTGCAAGAACATTGTCATTGACCCTGCTGGGTTTCTACAATGCATCACAGGTTACCTGTACCGACGTTCAATTGACGGAGGAGCATGACTTGCGCTTCCGAGTGCTCGGCTACCCAGTTGGCCGTCTAGATCGGGTTCAAAAGCTGTGTTTTTCCCCTCCTGATCTTTGGAGGCTGTAAGTTTAGGGTCCTGAATCTCTCCGATCTCTGCTGAACTGTCATCAGGCCGAAGTCTCTACAAGTCTCCAAATGGGACTTGACTTACTCCCTTGCATATGGTCATCCACTTCATACACTTGCCGGGGAATTTGAATTCAGCCTACCTAATGGCACTAATATTGGCTGTACGGCTGCTCGGATCACTCCCGACATTGGGGCTGCTGCCTCGGCAGCCTTTACCTACTTTCCAGCCGCCATCATCCTCCTAGTGGGCATAGCTTCGTGGTGCAGACACGCCCAGCAGCGAAGACGCTCAGTGCCCGAGCAGGGAACCACACCCGCACCTCAGGATTCAATAAGAAAGATTGTGGTCGATGTGGCCGACTACGTGCGCTACCTCCAGTTCATCTTCCTAACTGGTTCCCTCACGATGCAATACCCGGGTTTCTACCAGCCTATCGTCAGCCAATTGGCGTGGTCATCGCTATTATTTTGGAGTGGACCCATCGATCACGGCTTCACGTATCCCGGGATAGAAGACGGAATTTACTCGACCAACGGTACTTGTGGACTGGAGTACATGGCGCAGAATCTTGGATTTCCCTCCATGTTGGATATCATGTTCGACGCTCTCATAAATCTGTGCATTGTCGTATTTGCAATCGTGGTTATATTGCTGGTGGGATGGCTGATCAGGTGCGGATCGCGGCATGGCGTATCACTCGATTCTGTCCTTGTGCAAATCCCAGAAGCATGCCGTAGCATTGTGGGCGTCACGCTTCTGTTCTTCAGCCTCCCTCTCTTGGCGTATCTGGCGTATCCATTCGTCCTCGTCGCACACCTCCCCAGTTATCGCATTTGTCTGATGGTCTTGATGATTGGGGTCCTCGTTGGCTCGAATCTCTTCATCGCTCGCTATCAGACGAAACAGAAGCCCAGGAGATCTGACCACAACTCGTCTAAGGCTTCCCCTCGGGTTGAGAGCTCCATGGAATATATCGCCTATTATCTTCTTTACTGCCTTCCACTCATTCAGGGTCTAGCCATCGGTGGTCTGCAGCTCTGGGGCTGGGCGCAGCTGCTCCTGCTCGGCGGATGCGAATTGATCATTCTCGCCCACCTCATTCTTCAGCGACGGACGAAATTTATGCTTTCGAAAAGTGCCTGGTGTGCTGCTGTCCGCTTATTGACGCTCATCTTGAGTTTTGCCTTTGTGTGCCCGTCTCGCGAGGTAACAAGGCAATGGATCGGCTATTTCATCTTGGTTCTCCATGGTGCGGTAGTCGCGTTCGGCTTTTTGTTCATCTCTGTCTGGCATATAGGACGGTTCGCCAATAGAGGGCCCGATCGTAGGGTTGCCGACGATCGATGGGTGGGTTCAAGTACAGTTCCGGTTAGTCTCGAATCTGCCTTAAAGGTACTATTGCAGCGAGCTTACTTGTGTCCAGCATATGAATCTAGCCGAGCTCTCAAGCCCAAGTCACAAACGCCGTAACCTCGACGGAAAGAGTTTAGAGGTCAACTCCTTTGACGGCACCTCCGATCGCTACCGTCCAGGTTCCTCGCGCAGAATCTACAGAGGTTTTGAAAACCGTCCGGATATGCCGAACTCTCATACTTTGCCAGAAGCAACAGCGCCATATTCACCAAACGCTTCGACGTTTTACAGACCCCCGCGATCTCTTAATGGTAGAGTCGCTTCTTACGAGTACGAGAATGCCAGGCCTGATTCCATCGATTCAGTTACCGAGTCACCCGAGTCGGCACAGACAGATTCCAATGCGTCGCAACATTCAAGCGACGCCTTTGACGAGCTGTTACAGTTGCCGAGTAAATCGGGCGTCGACTATTCATTCCGTGAGTCGGATTTGTATTATGGTTGGCGTCGTGGTAATTCAGGACAGTCACAAGAGTCGTCGTCGAATGAAAGCCCGGACGAGGGCCAGTCGAGTCGACAGACATTCTTGAATTGGAAACGCAGTTCTGCTGAGCGGTTCAAACATAATAAGACAAAGGAGAAGGGATTTCAAGTGATAAGACCACCGCGGCCGATGTGACTTCATTCTCGGGCTGCAGCACCGTTTCCTCGACGACTCTATTATATCCATCGAAATGGCTGGTCATGAATGTATTAACAATGGTGGAGCATTGTTGGCATCGTACTCGCCATGACAAGTTGGTCGTTACTCCCTGCCGCAAAATATCGCCAGGATCACTTTAGGATATCTTGCGCAGGAACCCTCGTGTAGCACGATGACGTTTCCCGATCAAGGTCGCTTTCGACGAAATGTACTGCATCGGGAATACCGACATCGAAATACCACGAATTGATAGATCCACTCATCCGGCTTCTGGGTCGGATCATCCATTTGCATGACCACGTCGGCGCCGTAGGTCACGCTCGACCCGCAAAGATCCATTCTGTCAGTCTGGCAATCAGGGTTACGGTTAGGATGATCAGGCGGAAGTCCTTGTGCCCAGATCGATGAAGATCAACCGCCCACCACTTCATATCCTCAGAGATGCGCGTGGAGTTAAGGGGATACGTGTCCCGTGCCCCCGAGAGGCAGTCTGCCTTGACGGCGGACTCGTTGGTACAGAAGCGGTTATCAGACTACAGCTACCGTACAATCATTGGTCCCAGGTAGCGACGAGCACGGTTTAGATTCTCTTGCGCTTGCCAGCTCACCCGATGGATCGACGTACTGCCGGGTTCAGCTTTGTGACATTCGCAGATATGGACGCTCTGGCACTCAGTATAATTTTATCTCAGAGCCACCGGCTCATTAAATGCATTGTGGCAGTGTGCAGAGTCAATATACATAGAAGGATAATCGATTTGAACAATATATTTATCTCGAGTTTATTAACCACTGTCCCGATGCCGAACATAATTCCCGCTCTATCCGGATAACATCCGGGGCGGATCCGGTTCCGAGTCTACAACAGCCAAATATAACCTCGGTCTCTTCCCCGCGATCATCTCTTCAAACATCACACCTCAAAATCCTCAAAATGTCCAACGGAACGCCCTACTTCCTACCCGCCGAAAAGGCCCAAGGCCTAGCAAACTACCCGCACGCCCGCTTCGCGCCCACAACCGCACACCGCACCCTGTACGTCTCCGGCACCTCTTCCCGCCGCGGCGACGGCACCTGGGACGGCGTGACCGAACACGCAGACGGCACCTGGACACTCGACATTCGCGCCCAAACAGCCGCAGTCCTCCGCAACATCGAGAGTATCATCCAAGGCGCGACGGACGGCCGCGGCGGGCTGCAGAACATCGTCGACGCGACGGTTTTCCTGATCGACCTGCCGCAGAATTACAGCGGGATGAACGAGGAGTGGAACAAGGTCTGGCCGGATCGGGCGAATGCACCAGCCAGGACAACGATTGGGGTGAAGGAGCTGCCGAATCCGAGGCTATTGGTGGAAATTAAATGTACGGCGGTGGTTGAAGTATGAGAACCTGTATCTAGATCTAGACAGACTAAACGGAAGGAATATGCAACGTCCGCACATTACTAAATACATCTCGGCTATAATCGCCCCCCTCCCGTCCTGTACCCGACGCCTTCATCCCCCCAAAGGGCGTGCCCAGTTCGCGCACCAGCCAGCAATTCACCCACACCATTCCTGCGTCCAGCCGCTCGCCCACCCGGCGCATGCGAGCTCCGTCTCGCGTCAGGAGGACACTCGCTAGTCCGTACTGGCTATCATTGGCGCGCGATACTACCTCTTCCTCGCTCTCGAACGAGCTGACCGTCACCACCGGGCCGAATATCTCATCCTTCATGATTGGGCTGTCGTCCGGAACGGTGAGAATGGTTGGTGCGATCCAGTAGCCTCCTTCCGGTGTCTCCGGGGGTACCGAGCCCAGCTTGAAGCTATCTGGGTATTGGGTGGCTAGGGAAAGATACGAACGGATCTTGCGGTAATGGGCGAGGGAGACGACGGCGCCGACGGTCCTCCCGAGGACGTAGTGCTCCTGGACGTAGGCGACGAAGCGGGACAGGAAGGAGCCGTAGATGGATTTTTGGACGTAGATTCGAGAGCCGCAGAGGCAAATCTATCTCGTTAGTCTTATCAGGAGTTATTGATAGGGGCCGTACCTCTCCCTGATTCTCGAATGCTGCCCTTGCGGCCGTCGCAACAGCAGCATCAAGATCAACATCGTCAAAGACCAACGTAGGATTTTTCCCGCCCAGTTCAAGCGAGATATGCTTCCCTATATCCTCGACGGTATCCCTCCGGATCTGAATCCCAGTCGCCGTACCACCAGTGAACGAAACACCCCTGACACGGGGATGCTTGACCAAAGCCGAGCCGGTGGGATTACCGGCGCCATAGACGAGATTCAGAACACCGGGCGGGAGGCCAGCATCTTGGATTACCTTTCCCAGCACTGTCCACTTAGCAATACCCCAGAACCCCGACGGGAAACTTACAATATGCAGAAACGCTAGTAACTTCGCTCGGCTTCGCAACAGCCGTACACCCAAACGCCAGACACGGCGCGATCTTCCAGGTTAATAGGTACAGCGGCATATTCCACGGCGAGATGAGCGCAAAGACCCCAATCGGGGAGCGGTGCTCGTACGTCAGCACATTATCGTCGGTCCAGCGCGCAGCGGTCCGTTGTTGTTGGATGTATGTTGCAAAGTACCTGATCACCGTGTCATTAGCTTTTTGTCTAGTGTTTCCGCAAAGGATGTACCTGAAGTTAGAGATAGCGCGGTCAATCTCCACCCTTGCCCGCGCAAGGGTCTTTCCCTGGTCGATACTCTCCCATACAGCGAAGAGTTCGCGGCGTTCTTCGATGAGTGTCGCGATGCGATTCAGGTGTGCGGCGCGCTTCGACGGGGCAGTCTGCGACCATGAGTCGAAGGCTGTCTCGGCGGCTTGGACTGCGCTTTCGATGTCCTGGGCTGAGCTATTTGGGACGCGAGCGAATATTTGCCCGGTTTTTGGGTTGAAGGAGTCTATCCATTCGCCGCTGGTGGAGGGTGTCGGGGCGCCGTTGATGAGGTTTTGTAGTTGGAAGGGCTCAAAGGATGATTGTTGAAGGAGAGACTCGGCGGCTTCGATTGAAGCGTAATCCCATGGTTGAATCATTGTCTATACCGGTCCAGTCTCTATTCAGGACATGTAGAATTGCACACAATTCCTAAGCGATATCATACGCGGGAAGGTATCCGTCTCTATACAGTGGATCTTATCTATAGATCCGTACCCCGCATTCCAGTGGGACCGGGAGCGGATACGGAGATTGCCCCGTGTATAACCTCACATTCATTGGCTTCGAAGAAACTATGAGTAAGAGCTTCACTTTAGATCTGCAATACAACCGCATTCCCCGCATCGTCGACTCTCCTCGTCTTGCTGCCACCTCTCGATGATTGGCTCCAGTTGTGTCCCGAGGTCTGAGCAGTGAAAGACCTCCTCGCGGATGATTGTAGGCGAGGGATGATTTCCCTTGGTACAGTACCATCGCAGTCGATCGCGAGATTCCGCCGGTCGTTGTCGTTCCATCACTAGACCGATGGTATCTTTGTATCGGACGGGGTTGTGGGGTGTGTTTCCTACATATGTCAGGATGATCGACTGGAATTCGGACTACGTACCTGGAAGAAGGAACATCTCGCCCTCTTTGATAGGGATGTCGCGAAATGTATTGTTCTCTACGATCCGGAGAAGCATGTCGCCTTTGACTTGGTAGAACCATTCCTGCTTATTAGTCTAGCTCAGCTTCTACCACCGGAAACATACTTCGGTTTCATTAACTAGAGCTGTCAGTTACGATGTTTTCATTTTGGAGGAACCGTACCATGATAGTCATTGCGTTCGTTAGGCCCTCCCACTGCCATCAGGATAAAGTCATTCCCCTGATAGAGACAGCAGTTGTTGACCGGAGGTCGTAATTTGTCTTCATTTTCGGCCAGCCAGGTGGCCCAGGACAAGGGATTGAGTGTCGTCATGTTGATCTGGATGCTGATTGTCATGCTGTCCGATGATGTCTACCTGGTATTTATCGATGCATCGGATGCTATCCGGATGGGATCCGTATACGCCCCGCATATAATACGGATCGTAGATACCTGGGGTAGATCATCTGTTCTTCTCCAATTTCATTACATCGGATCAACAAGATATTCATCATAATCATAATAATTGAATTGCAAACATCAAAATGGGAAGTTGTTGTACAAACCACCTCCTTCTCCGCATCGACATGCACACTCATATTATGCCCCCTTCGCTCCCTGACCTCTCCTCATATCCCTCCAACACTCCTCCCATATCATCCTCAGACTCAGATTCATCCACCGCATCAGCCTCAGAATCACCATGGCTCACCCTCCGCCCAAACCCCGCCAACCCAGACGAAGTAGACATGTACATAGGCGACCGCTTCTTCCGCACCGTCGAGAAAAACTGCTACGACACGGCAACAAGACTCGCCGAGATGGACGCCGCAGGGACAGACGTACAAGTCCTCAGCACAATCCCCATCCTCTTCTTCTACGACCAGCCCTCCGCCCCCGTGACCGTTCTCGCTAAACACCTAAACAACCATATCGCCTCCATCTGCCGCCAACATCCCACCCGATTCCTCGGCCTCGCAACCGTGCCCTTACAAGACGTCCCCGCCGCCGTCGCAGAGCTGCACCGCGCAAAGCACGAGCTAGGGCTCCACGGCGTCGAGATCGGAACCACAATCGACGGGGTTACACTCGACGATCCAACCCTGCATCCGTTCTGGGCTGCATGCGAGGAGCTGAACATGCCCGTCTTCGTGCACCCGCTCGGCTACACCTGGCCGAAGGAGAACCCGCGCCGCTGGGCAAAGTACTGGAGCAGCTGGCTCATCGGGATGCCGTGCGAGACGGCGCTAGCACTGCATCTGCTGACCTGCTCCGGGACGCTGCTGAAATTCCCGAGGCTGAAGCTGTGTTTCGCACATGCGGGGGGTTCGTTCCCTGCGTTACTGGGAAGGATCCAGCATGGATATGACTGTCGGCCGGATCTGGTGGCGGGGGATGCGGGGGGAGTCACGCCCACTGAGCATGCGACTGTGCGGGAGAATATCTGGATTGATAGTTTGACGCATGACGTTGAGTTGCTGGAGTATCTGGTGAAGAAGGTTGGGGCGCATAAGATGATCATGGGGAGTGATTATCCATTTCCGCTTGGGGAGGTGCCTGAGGCAGGGAGAATGATCGCAAAGGATGGACGGTTGGAGACATTCTTGTCTTGGAGGCAGCGGGCTGAGATTCTCGCGGGAAATGCGTTGAGGTTTTTGAATCTGGATAAGGATGAGAAGTGGGCAGGGTTGATGGAGGAGAGGTGGAGGATGTTTGAGAAGGTATATATCAAGTGATTTTATGGCGAATGATGTTCAGACGGACTAATTAATGGACTCTCTGACTGTGAATTAATACGTGGATTGTCTACTCTTGTCTTTCTCTCTTAGCCGGTTGTTCTTCCTCTTTCTCGATATCCGCATTTTGGACTCCAGTCGGGCGCAGACAGAACAATTCGTTCATTCACGCTGTATCACGCATGGGCAAACCCTACCACCTCCTAGAATGGTTGCTCCAACTCTGTCCGTCAAAGTGCGCTGAGACAGTGTCATCTTTACTCCAGCTATCACCTTAGGTTTCTATATGGGACCAGTGATTCCGAAATGATGACCAATCATATGGGCTGATCCAGCTCTCCACCAGATTACCTGACTTATCCTCGGCATTGAGACAAGGTTACTTCTTACTCATTGTGACTCACGTAAAGCCAACATCATAACTTATATCCGCTGAAGAAACCATCTCCTACTGCGCAAGTCAACGAACAATATGTCTCACCTCGTCACCACCATCTGCCGCTCATACCCATGGATGAAAGCTCCATTTGTCGTCAGTGCCCCGATGCGGGTAATGTCCGGCCCCACACTGGCAGTCGCTGTCTCCCGCGCAGGCGGGCTTGGATTCATCGGGCCGGGTGTCAAGACTCAAGACATCAGCGTTGATCTCGAGGAAGCATCGACCTTGATAAAATCGCTCTCTACGCCCCAAACCCAGCCTTCTTTGCTGCAAAGCCAACCCAATCTCCCCGTTGGCATCGGCTTCCAACTCTGGAACGACGACATCGAAGTCGCCGTCTCCACAATAACCAAACACAAGCCCTGCGCCGCCTGGCTCTACGCCCCCCGCAACGGACAAAAAGACCTAGATACCTGGTCCCGGCGGATCCGGCATGCATCCCCCTCCACCCGCATCTGGGTCCAGATCGGCACGCTAGCTGAAGCAAGGGAGCTCGCACAGGGCATTGAACAACCAGACGTGATTGTCGTGCAGGGGGCAGAAGCCGGCGGCCACGGGCGGGTAAACGACGGTCTGGGAATTATGGCACTCCTCCCGGAGGTGATGGACAGTCTTCCACCGCACATCCCTGTGTTTGCAGCTGGGGGCATAGCTGATGGACGTGGCGCGGCGGCGGCGCTCTGCCTCGGGGCTACCGGCGTGGTGATGGGGACGCGGTTCCTTGCAGCTACAGAGGCGAGGATTAGTCCTGGTTATCAGCGGGAGATTGTGCGGGCGAGTGATGGCGCCGTCTCGACGACGAGGACGTTGCTGTATAACCAGCTGCGGGGCACGGTGGGCTGGCCGGAAGAGTACAGTCCTCGGACGATTATCAACAAGTCGTTCATTGAGCATCAGGCGGGTCGGTCATTCGATGAGCTGAAGACGCTTCATGATGAGGCTCTCAAGGCGGGAGATGCTGGGTGGGGACCGGAGGGAAGACTGGCGACGTATGCTGGTGCTGCGATTGGGCTGATCCATGATGTGAAAAACGCTGAGGCGATTGTCCAGGATGTCCAGACAGACGCCCTGCGGAGGCTCTCAATGGTGCAAAAGGCCAATTCGGTGCAGTAGAGGAATGAAATGATCCTGTATGGTCTTAAGACTGTCTCCCTATACACTATAGGACTTAATTTAAAAGACACATGCGATTTACTATGAGTCATCCATGCCGCGCCCTTCATCGAATAAGGTCTATCATAAACGGTCATTGCGGTTTATTGCGAATGTCAGCCTCACCAAGGTCTCTAGATTCCGTCACCTGTAAATCCTTCAAAACTTCCTCGGTAATCTCCGGACGAGGACATGGGACCAGTCACAAAGTCATGCCGTAATTCTTTGCTTCTCGAGTCGCCTTTGCTTGCACTCAATACCCGAGACAATGTGGCGCTCTCGCAAGCTTGCTTCCACGCTCCCTCGATGGAACTTTCGTCGACACCCACGAGAATGTCTGCAGCCGCGTCAATATCTTCCAGCTTCACTCCACTTGTGGGCGATCCCGCTCTCTGAGACAAGATATTATACTGGAGTGCCATGACCCACAAGCTCTTGGATGTCTCATAATCCCCTTTCAGGCGGCACACTCGTGCATATACTGGTGCAACAAATCCACAGAGGCTGAAATACTTCCCATCAGGATGTTGAATCATCTCTTGCGGCACCAATGACATAAAATCGACAAGAACAGTGCCCAAGTGCCCCAGATGCTCCTGAGGTATTTCCAGCTGCGATTGGGCGTCTGTACCGGCACACGACCGTCCATTGAGAAGAAAACCAACGGCTGCATAGTCACGGAGATCATGGCAAGACAGTTTCAGGCGAACAAGGGACCGTACCATATCATCGATTTCAAAGGTCTCAATCATGCAATCTGATCGCTTGCGGTTGAAGCTTACAAGACCGGAATCCTCCAGAGTTCGAAGCGCATTTGCGAAATCAGCCTCTTGTGTGCGTAGGCTGTTCAGCCAGTTTATGATGCTCAACCACGACGTATCAGGTAATTCCAACGCGGACAGTGAGTTGAATAGCACAGAGAATTTATTATGATCATCTGGTGGGTACATGATCAAAGACGCCGGTATTAGTCCTGGGCCAAGGAACACAGCCAGATGGAGAAGCTTGATCGAATCGGGACTTCGCTGGCCTGCAGCGTCGTACAGCTTTTCGAATGCCGTCCACAAAGCATGTCTCTTTTCGTATACTCCGATACAATTATACAAAGGGGTCTTGAAAGTCAACTTTGCAAACTGTTCTTGAAACCGCCGATTGAACTCTTGCAAGGAATATAATCCACATCGTAGAAAGGATCCTGCTTGTTCCAAAGCGAGGGGCACTCCGCCAACTTTGCGGGATATTGCCTTGGCTGTTTCCACAGCTAAAGAGTCATGTCAATACGATGCAACGCATATCACTTGGCGTAGACTTACGTGGGCTGTCTGGTTCTTCAACGCCTGCACAACGAAGTAGTATCTGAGCACCTGCGTCCTCATCGACGCCGCGCACGTGCATGCCTGGGTAGCCCAGCCGAGTGTGCAAGTACGGCGACAGGGTTGTCAACAGGACATGCCCATGATTACACGAAGGGAAGTACTTCCTAATGTCGATATCCATAGCTGGTGAGACATCCGCGATCTCAACTCCATCAAATACCATGATCCAAGCCGTGTTTGTTTCTTGCTCCAACCACTCCAATACGCGCTCAATTGGTGATTGCTCACCGTCTATGCATCCTTGTATCTTCCGCCATATTTCAGAGAAGGAGTCATGGATAGTGTCCTGAGACGAACAATTGATCCACAATATGGAGTCATACAGCGTTCTTCTCACGGAGATATAATGGGCGGCCAACTGTGTTTTCCCATATCCACAAAGTCCCCGGAGCACTACCCCTTTTCTTCCATGCCTAGGGTCTCCCAATTCTTCTTTCATCTCACTCACTTCAATCTCTCGGCCTATAAAGACAGTCTGAAGCAGTGGCACTCTTGAATGGACACTCTCGGCCTGTCGAGATTCTTTAAGTAGGTCAGCATACGGAGCAATCACTTGAACTCTCCTCGCTTACTAGCTTTCGCACTGGGTGCCCAGTATTGCAGAAACGCCTTAGCAGCAGAGGCAGCTACTGCTGCTGCATAGTTCCGCCATACTTCGTTCTTATGTCCATCGGCATAGTCGGATACGCCGTTGATTATCACACAGGGAAGAGTATCCCACACTCCTGCCCCGATGGTCTCGAATGCAATTACCTCCTCCATCTCAGCAATCCTGTCACGATGTTCTCCAGACTCCATTACCGTGTCCCCGGATGCGATCGTCCCGATATGGAGTGCAGGCTTGACTGACTTTTCGCTGGATCTGCGGCGATGGACTTGTTGCTCATCACATCCAGAGATGCAGCATTCTTCCTCCGGTGCGTCCTTACAGAGCGTATCCTCAAATCCAGCGCCAATGCGAACATACTCGAGATCTGACCGTCGGCGATGCCGGTGTCGATATGCAGACGCAAAAAGGATATCCTTTGATGCTCCGGGATACTGCCACTTTGAAGCTCCCCGAGACTGTAGCTCTTCCAGAAAGCCAGCACTCTCCTTCTCCATTAGTTTGCAGTTTCCATCAATAGACAGAGCATTCAAGAGAGTTCTTATGGCTCTGTTCGGCCTTCCAAGGGCAGCCTTAATGCTCGTTTCCCGCTGGAATCCCCAAGGGCACTGCACTCCAACGTCGAATTCAATCACACTATCCGCAATGACAATGTCTCCTAGAAAGATATCCCTCTCACTACAGGAGGGTGACGGAACACCGCCGCATGTCCCCACGACTAGGGCGAGCTGGACCCCCGTGTAACTGAACATCAGGCTCGAAGCTACGCTCGCTGAGCTGCATTTTTCCGCCTCTGGTGCCTGGCATAAGACCACATTGTGCTTGCCGATTCGTCAGTTTATATAAACATTGCGATCCTCGGGTTCCTTGTCATAGATCTCGCCGAATCGGTCGTAGACCTCGTCCAGCAATGCGTCGATCGCCTCGACTTCGCAGGGTAAGCTGCAGATAATGGCGATTTCGAACTCTTCGCGATGTCGAGGACGCATTTCAAAAAAACTTGTCAACAGCAGCGGCAGAAAAACTCCAAGCTACATATGGCTTCGGGCTTGAATGGGCTGTCGCGAGACAGGCTTGTAAAATATGGCTCTTCTGGCGTAGGTTGACCGCTATAAGTGCATGATTCTACTTTCTTAGGATCGATCTGGCTATAAAGCCAGCTTGAGCATTCATATATCCCAGTTGAAGCCTAACCATTGCCTCGTGTTAAACCGGCGCCAATCATGAGGCCGCAGTAGCCGCTTGAGCGATGTCATCTCTTCTCCTGATGGGCATGTACTGAGAATAAGCGCGCAGACAATCCAATTGTATCCCCATAAAGGTATTGATTAACCCAAGTGGCCATGCATCGGCTTGTCATGCGCTGTATTGTATGATCAATCAATCACATGCATCGGATTAGCGGCGAACTTGCAGCGACTTCCAAGACCATAGGTGATGGTGAGATCTGCAGATCTTCTTAAGACGTATCATAGCTATTAATAAAGTCCGGGTGCGGGCCAGTAGAATTTGCAGTCGAGAAAAGAATCTATTAATGAAGAAGGAGATCCTAGTGAAAGCTTCACAAATCACCATGAGCCGGCAGTAGAGAGTTATCTGGTGATCTTTCCAGTGATTCCACTCTGCCAGATCCCACAATCGTCTTCTTCTGAGTACGTAATTGATTTCTCGATCAATGTAGCTCTCCTATCCTTCTGAAACAGAAGTAAAACAGCCGTCAGAGTCAGGGTACATTTTGTTACGAGATAAGCGGTCCCGAATGTCACCATCATCGAAAATAAAGGCAGCCGCACACGAGAGAGTCCAGATTGTAAACAATTGAATGTAACGTCATTGTTTCGCCAGAGATAATGTTGCTTGAAAGTGGAACATCACGAGCGTCCCTTACAAGCGGATCTCCAAGATCCACATCGGCTATCGATTTGGCGAGCGGCACATTGGGAACTATTGATCCGCCGTGACAACTCACAAATGGAATCGCTGGAAGCGAGACCAGACTCGCAAGTATATATAGAATGTTCGATCCAGATATGTAGCGGGGACTGCGAAGGTCATATTCGGTTGGGTTCGATTTTTTCTCAGTCATCTCTCTTCAATATACCCAATCTCTGAAAAATGAAGGCAGCTGTTGTTCTTGCTATTATCCCCTTCACACAGGCCCTCGTTGGTCTGAGCTGGAGCTTTCCTAACGCTCCCTCCTCTGGCCTGAAGGATATCACATTCCCAATCTCGATGGCCAATGCACCTCATAAGGAAGGCTACTATTTCGCACAGCAATTTGCCTTCAACGGTCTCTCCGATGTCGGGTATACCGGTCTCCAACCCCGTCCGGATGCCTCCGGTTCAAGCATCGTCCACGCTGTTTTCTCCAGCTTCGTACCCGGAACGACGAGCACCGACCCAAACTGCCACGATGGCGCAGACGGCGGTGCAGGTGTCAGCTGCGCTGTGGAAATCGCAGCACCATATGCTCCACTCTACGATCTCGTGGTCAAGAACACAGGCGGCACCACCTGGACGGCAACCCTGGTCGACACCGCGAGCGGCAAGTCGGCACATGTTGGGTCGTACACATTGCCGAGTGGTGCTGGAGGAACCAAAAGCAGCCAGGTTGGATTCGTTGAGTACTATCCTTGGAATGCCATGCCGAGCCATCTCTGTAGCTCGCTCCCGTATACCAATGTGACGTTTGGAGCGCCTACGACTAGCACTCCGGGGGCTGGATCGGGCCGCGTGGACAAGCCTTATGAGTATGGAGATTGTGTTGGAAAGGTGAACTTTGATGTTCGGACGACAGATCAGGGATATCAGGTGTCAGTTGGCTTTTAGAAAAGACCCTATGTTGTCTTTGTTAGTGATAGGGACACCAGTGTTCACTTCTGTTTGAGTCCTTCATTAATTGGATTGGAGTGGGCTCTTCTCCAGAATTTTAACTTCTCTATAACCATCAATACAGCGTACAGCAGAATCGTTCACTCGGAGGGCTGATCCCCATGTCTCTCGGGCATGGAGGAGGTGACTGACTAAACCTACCCAGAATGGCTCTCCAGAGTATGCTTAAGGACACCAGTGATGGGATTCAGAGCTTAATCCTTTGACCATAAGAGCTAGATGCTAGAAGCTTGCTACCTTATAAGAAGGTAATAGATTATACCTAATAAGAATGTCTCTTTACGGTTTATAATTCTAGGCTCTAGGTCCTAGTATCATAGGCATCTATCTTGACTTTCCTATCTAAATTAGCGGTGCCTTTCCATATTAGGATCCTAATATCTGGCCCAAATGGTCCGCATTTGAGATGTAATTGTGATCAGATTCCTTAATTGCAATTTTTCCATTCCAGGCTCTGATGGTAGGTCTACTGGTTTGTGCTTGAGCACACTCCATGATCAAGAAAATCCGCTAACTAGATATAAACTGCCCGTGCGTATCCTTCACAGTGCAGGAAGAGTATGCCCAACACCATCCCTTTCTTTGCTTTTGTTAAGACTCCCTAAGTCTTAATATATTACCAAGGAGCATGTGTATAATTTTAGGAGAAGCAATGCATGTCCTGTAGTAACACAGCGATTGTGCACCTAGATCGCATGAGAACGTCAGCGTCTGCAGTACACCATATGCAATCAGCGCATACAACAAACCACCACAGCTCTATCCCAGCCCACTCGAACCTGGTATTGAGTACTTCCTAGCCAAAAGTAGCTCCAAATTACTGGGCTGAGCTGTATCCATGACATTACTGGACAGCTCTCGCGGCTTGAGTAGACCATCTGCAGCTGTCGATCCTTGGGTTACACAAGGACTCGATTTTGTGGCTCTTGACACCTAAAAATTGAGTCTCGGAAAGACCATGCAAGCAGCTAATCTGTAGTTCACAATGAAAACAAGGCTACGGAGTGGATTCCATCCAGACTGTCCTCCCATGTACAGTAAGTAGATAGGCTGCACGAGTAGACTGGAGCTACTAGTGGGATTTGGTCCTCGTGATGGTAATTTGCTCGCTTAGGGTAAGTTTATGCGACAATGTCGGTCCCTGACATATCTGCGGGAGAGACACTAGGAACACGAGGTCAATCCCCTGTGTCTGAATTTGCTTCATTATACAAGGAGCCTTACCCACAGGTGATGTGTACATGTTCATCATCTGCAGGGGAGGTCAGATCTCATACCATGCCAAATGGCACGTCCACTGAGCTGCATTCTTTTTACATCAGAGGTATGAGCCAGTCCATTTATCAAGAATAAGATCGTCCATGTTGGTGTAGGAAAAGATTGGCGCTCGAACCTTCTCCTCTTGGTAGCTTCCGGACCGAAGGTCTCCATAAACACTCACTATCAGTGGCCTTTGACTCTATTTCACAGGTTCCTCTTCAAGCTGAGTGCCTTATCCTCAAATATGAAGTAGATCGTCCTCACGACCACGAGTCCACCGACCGTACACCGTACATTTTTGGCCTTTGTCTTGCGGCATCATGCAATCCTTGCTTCTGTCAGCCAGCCCAGTGTATATAGCTTCAGCCACGGGGATTTCAAAAGCAACAGATGGATGCAGTCCAATCGGGCCAAGACCTAAATAACAGATTAATATTTCACATTCTCATACCAATGCCTTCACCGCTCGTTGTGGAAATGTGGAGCAATATTTGTCTTGTTGGCTGACCGATCGGCAATCAAACCTGCACACTAACATTGGTGGCTTATGTACAGCCCTGTCGGCCTGCACAGTGATAAAGTACCCGATGAGTTCATCCTGTGCACGTATCACCACAACTGCATAGACTAGTTAAATGCATACAGCCATAATCTCTCTTCTCTTGGTCTATCCCTTGCGGGCCCCACCCATTAGATGGCCCATGCATATATGCAGCTTCACGTGCATGCATGTATGTATGTATGCTAGTGTCCTTTACATTTAGGCGCCCAAGACAGCTTGGATGTCTCACGAAGAGCCTGTGAGACTTAGCTCGCAGGTGGTGATCATTAGGAATTCACATCAGCTCGACAGGCATCAAAGCGACTGGGATTCTGGCATATGACTTCAGAGACGGACAAAATCATCAATGGACGTGACGAGACAGGATTGCTTTACTCTCATCCTCTCAATTTCATCTTGCTTTCTGTCATTTACCTCCATCTGGTACCCGAACCGCTTTTCCATCAAGCTTATCAATCAGCATGTCGCAAACTACAAACGCAGAGGACAGCGCCATACATCTTATACAGTCTATTCTTAATGCAGTCCATTCGTATAAGAGCGCAACAAATAGTGGAAGGTCTAATGAATAGCGAAAGAAACAAGCTTATCTCCTATTGTAATAAATTAGCGTTGTCATTATATGACCCTGAGGCCTGGATGTTGGGTGTGGCGTGGGTTATGGAAGTAGCATCCCGCTTTCCCTCGCCCTTTTCATACGTATTCAAGACCACATACACTGTGATAATCCAAATTTGCTAGATCAGTTGGTTGAGTGTACTGAAGCACCTGGAAAACTGTCAGTATGTATAGTTAATTCATCCAAGAGTTATAAGTATCTATCACCGAGATAGAATGTGTCATGCATAGCCTATTATCTCTCGTATCTTTGAGAGCCAAGCGCGAGAGATGCATCAGCACCATGCATTCTCCCGGAAGATGCTGGATAAACACTCCGTGTCGTGGCTTCATTACATGTAAGTTGATTCCTAGACACATAGGCCACTCATTAATCAGCAGGAGTAGTAGTTAACCAAATTCTCAGCAGACAGGCATATGTCATTTAGAATAACCTTTAATATATTATATGCCACAAGCGCTTGATCTCTAAGCAGCATCCTTTCGATGTAGGGACATTCCTGATAAGAAGTCGTCTACCCTAGCACTGGCCGCGTAGATCTGCAGCGTTCCTCGGTACCATAGATTAGGTCTCGAGACCAGCCGAGAAAAGAAACATCATTTATTATAGTTTTACATATAGATTCTGACTCGTTGATCTACACAGGTGGCTAAAAGCTGTATGGGCTATCATCGTCTGATGGTTTATTCATTGCATACACATGCAAGGAGAGGAATTTATGCCATCACCCTTGCTTAATTTAGCTCCCGGTCTTCGTATATCCAAGCCGATGATCCAGCGATACATACTCATCCTTCCCCTTCTACCGTTCATAGTTCTAGCTCGTCCCATTGACCCATTGTACCGTTAACCCATATCTATTCTTGAGCATAGTGAGTTCTTTTGCAATTCTCCTATTCATTAGGCGTGCCCATTTGCATCGGCAGAAACCATGTCGAGTGCGCTATGTATGGAGCGCAAGCCTTTAAACTCTCTTACTCCTGTCGACCGGCTTTTCGGATGTGCATACACGCGTTGCCAGCTTGCTTTCCATACAGATAAAGCAAGTGAATGTCCGACTTTTCTTCGAAGGGGGTTCGAACGCCTGTTGGCCCAGATACCGTTCTTATCTCAGGAGGTCGTTATACCGGTGGGTTGTGATAACCTCGACAGCGTCAAGATCCAGCCGGCTAGTTCATCCGATCTTGATCGGCTCCTGAGAATTAAGGAACATGGCCAGCCTATGCGAGAAGCTTTATTGGAGGCGAGCAAAGACAAGGCTACATTTGAAGAGCGATTCATGCCGATAGGAATAGTACCGGATATAGCGCGGCCCTGTCCTATACTGGTTATCCAAGCTAATTTGCATCCGGACGGAGTGCTTCTATCTGTCGCTGCAAACCACATGGTCATGGACGCCACCGGAATGGGCATGGCGATAGTATTGTTCGCGAATTGCTGTCGTCAAGTGGAGGAAGGGAAGGACGTCGACATGTCATCATATGCTGCCGAGCAAGACCTGGGCAAAGAAATGCTCTTGCAGCGCTTGCCAGCTAACATCGGTGAAAGAGAATTCCCAGAGTATCGGGTACACAAGGACCTTTACGCCAAATGGGGGAGAATGACACAGGACGTACACAACGATTCTTTCTCCATCCGCACGAGGACCTTCAATATCGCAGCAACGGACGTCAACGCGCTAAAAGGGCGCTGCAATGAGCTTCTCCCTCATCTACTCGCTGATGAGGGCCAGAGTGTTGGAGGGAGAAAAGCTCATTATGACGAGCCGTGGGTTTCCAGTAGTGACGTGGTTATCGCTCTGATCTGGTTGTCACTGAACCGTGCACGATATCCTGGGCTGGCAGATGGTTGCAGCTCTCATTCGAGGCCCCAGGCGGGACAACCCGAACATGTGCACGCCGGAGTACCTGTCGACATTCGTCCTCGCGTCGCACCTGCGCTTCCTACGTCGTATCTAGGCAACGCAGCCATCCTCATGTTGGTCACCCAACCTCTTCAAACCTTTGCTTCACATGAATGGATGACAACCCTCTGCCGTGTGGCGTATGGTATTCGCAGTGGGCTCAGCCGCATGGACAACGATTATATCCGGAGCCTTCTTCATTATGTTCAAAACGAAAGACTTCCCGTCATCTTTTCATTTGACGTGGCCGATTTCTACGTGAGTAATTGGCGGGGCATGAAATTCTACGACGCCGATTTTGGATCGAAGATTGGGACACCACAGCATGTTAGGAATCCCGACTCCGCAACCGATGGAGCTGTCTTCATCATGCCTAAACGCACCGATTCAGAATCAGCATGGGAAGTTCAGGTATCGTTCTCTGATGAGGTACTTCAGCGGTTGGAGCAGGATAGCATTTGGGCCAAGTACATGCATCTGGATTCTTACTGGCCATAATACCTCTATATGGAATACCTGAAAGGACTTAACCGCCATAGCTGAGCGAAGTGGACATTGGGATCGAAGTCATCGATATGATCGATACTAGAGGCAGCACCATTCCGTTAATCTTTTCTTTTTCTCTTTTCATTTTTCCTTTTTTATTTTAAAAATTTGTTTAGTTTATTCCGTAGTTTTTGGCCATGTAATGAAGACAAAGTACTACTGCTGTGACTGGACGCTCAATCAAAGCAGGTACGGGGCTTCGCAAGCAGAAGCAATCCCATACAGGCTCAAATTGCTTTGCTTGCTTGAAAACAAATGTGATGTGTTTCTTGTAAAAGAACCATCCAATTCTGAGGTGAGAATATGTATGATGACGAAATTTTGGACTGCAACATGGTCACATCGCATCACCTGGGTTGGCTGCATTAGGCAAGTAGACACGAATGAGCAGTAGCAACAGCCACGGCGGAGGACCAGGTGGAGTCAGCAATTCTCTAGAACGCATCCAGATAGGCCTCTTCCTCAGTATATGGGTGCGTGAGGGAGTTCTCGTTGTTGTGCGTTTGTTTTATTCTATTCGGGATAGATATTATTACTAGCGTTACTGTGGGTGCTCTACCCAAGGGCATGGCAGTGCAATGTGATATGTACTTCCTCCCCAGGCAATGCCTCGCAATCCGTTAGTGCAGTTCTCAACTCTACCTGTCAGCCTGGGATCTGGCCTTTGGATTAGAGATGAATCAAGTGTTTGTCATTCTTTCTTCGACTGAAGAAGCGTCATCATCCGTAAATAGATACAGGGCTGACATGGCGATCCTCGTTCTACTGAGACGTCCGTAATTCGCACATCCTGAACCAGACTGGAAATACTAAGGTTTGAGGCATTTGAATGGCATTGAATGGCATAAATTCAATTGAACTATTTCCGGCTTTATCCTTCAAGTCAACAAGGTATATTACCTGATTCCAATTATTGTCCGCTTAGACCACCCTACACCTCATTTCTCTCCAGCATATTATCGTCCCGTACTGGACCTACCAGTGGTAATATATAGACAGGTAGGGACCCTTCTGAGCCGAGTAAGAGAAAGACAGCCATGCTTGCTTCCGGGTGGCGGTGCTGAGATCACAGCCGGGACTAGAAGCAAAATTTTAGCAGCGATCGACGGAAACTCAGCACGAATGTACTTACTAGTAGGATTGTAAATTCTCTGTGAATGTGCATGCTTGGTCCTGCATGCCATACTTGTCAAAGAAAGCCGTCAAGACGCTTGCAACTTGCATTTCAGGCACCCCAGTCAACGGGAGGTACAGCTGAGGTTTCAGGTTACCGTGGCCCGGCTTCATCTCGTAATTGTACATCAGAGGCAACAAGCTCGAGGGGTCGCCATGTTTTGCCGAGGTGCCTGGGGGACTGCGTCGTCCTTCGACAATGCCAAGTTCCATCCATAGCTCGCGGAAAATCTCGAGTCCGCGGGCTATGTCGTCTCCTTGGAGTCTTCCACCAAGAGTCCAATGGTGCTCCGCCCGTGACAATGCGACGTCCGAGTCATGTATATAGATCTTGTACCGCGTGCGTGACGGGTCCACCAAGTCACAGGCGAGAAAAGCTGCTGGGGTCGCACTTTCCTCAATGTGGTCTTCAACGAGTTGGCACAGATCGCTTAATGATGCGTCAGGTGTGGATTTGCGAACAGCGTCCAAGCAAATCTTGGCGACGGATTGTCCCGTCACGAGCGATTTCACGATTGGTAGGAAATACTCCTTTGCGACAATGCCTGACTTTGTGAAGTCCAACGCAATTATATTTTGCGTTCGGACCTCGAATTTGGCAATGTCGGCGGGTGTGAGCTGCTGCTCTTCTGCGTCCGTTAACGTCAACTGGTTGTTGAGGGAATGGTGGAGGTAGAGGTTAACGGATGATGGGTCAAGGAGCTTCAGATTGGACAAGAACGCATGTACGGCTTGTCGGTTACAGACATCTGCGCCCGTGCTGGCAGCATAACTGGTCGGCTCGAACGCAATCCGTACGGTTGACCCCGATGCCTGAAAGTTCTGGCTGAGCTCAACCGGCCCATAACCGCCAAGAGTACATGTATAAAAGCCGCTGTCGTTGCCCCTGCTGGTAAAGGGTCCAAGAGAGGGAATCACAAGCTGAGAGTAGAGACATAGGTATCGGTATTGTAGGTCGATATTGTACTTTCCATCACTCAACATACGACTAAGCATAGGGGCGACACGATGCCAATAGCGGTGCTGGTCCATATTCTGGAAAAGTATTGCCTTGCTAAGGGACCGATATGGTGCGTCCGGCGACTTAACGGGCCTCGAGTCAGTGCCACCCTGGGCCTCAGGGGCGGTGGTCCCTTTGTGGGCGGAAGATGTGAATGTCATGTTGAGACTCTCTGAGCAAAAGAGAGGTATGAGGGTGTAAGGGAATGAAGGCAATAGATGAGGTTGGTAACTTGACGCTGGTAGATGAAAGGCACACCACTCCCAAGTTTCTTGTTTGATCTCTACGTATATAAGTTCAGACGATACTAAGCGCTGTGATACCAACCTGTGAGATCCATGACGTATATACGTCTTTCAGCTTGTATATAGTTCTTCCATCACTGCTATGTTGCGGGACATGCTTTTCAGATCGCGCGTATGCACTGTCGATTTCTCCATCTCCGGAGTCACATTAGTTTTTGCATTGCTCTTCAATATAATACTATCCCTTGCAGATCGTCAGCTGTCACAGGTCAAGAGCACGCGGGTTTGGAAATTTTTTTTTACCACGCGTTCAATCTCCTGGTATTCTATTCTCCCCAACACAATACTGTATGATATTTTCCATGGCACTCTATGTCACCAGCCAAGCCCGCGATACCAGGGACTATTGATAAAACATGCATTCTATTGAAGCCCGCGGCTCCCCTATTCGTGACCATTGCACCAACCAATTCGTCTCGTGCTTGGTTGTTGGTTCTGCATGACGTGGCAGGCACTGTTATTAGCTGCTAAACTTGCGAATGTTTGTCAGTAGTAGTCAGCCACAGTACATTTACGTTATAATAACTCAGCTGAAGATGCAAAAAGCAATTGTGGCTGCATGCTGTCTGCAAGGGGGACCAGGATCTTGGAGAGCTTCGTCAAAAGGAACTAAAGTATGCCTGATAATCAACCGAATCACGTCATTCAAGGTCCACTTTACAATGAGACAATGAGACTAAGAAAAAAAGGAAAAAAAGGCCCAAAAATAAGTCTACGTAATGGACCTAGCTCGATATAATACAGAAGTGTGATGTGTTCAACAAGAAGATACAGGATCAAAAGGATTCTGAAGTAAATGCAAATTGAATGTGTTTTTCCTGTTTCGGTGTTGCCGGTTTTTAATGAGGGACTCTTTCAAGTTGCAAATGAATAAAGATATGGGGGACATTGCATTCAGAAACACTTTTAGATCATGGGATAAGGAAACCCTCTTCAGGTTCGGCCGTCTAAACTAAGAGAAACAGCTTTATGTTCTGTCTACTATTTGAATCATGCAGGGGTAAGAATGAGCCAACCAGTACCTGGATTGACCTGGAGGGACGCCGTATGTAGTGTAAATAGGACCTTTGCCGGGAGAGATCATCTTCAGGAGTTAGAGTGTGATGCAACTAGCATGCATATGCAGATAAATCGCCAGTAGGAGATCATCTTCCAGACTTGGAGTGTGATTCAAGTAGCATGCATTTGCAAATAAATCAGCGCTGGGAGATCATCTTCCGGAGTTGGAGCAAGATTCAAGTAGCATGCAGATGCAAATAAATCGCCACTAGGAGATCATCTTCCGGACTTGGAGTGTGATTCACCTAGCATGCATATGCAAACAAATCGGCACCGAGCTCCTCAGCTGACAGGTCATTATGTATGCATGTCACCATTCGATTCTAGCCTTTCAACTACGTGAATGGCCGACAACCTCTTTGTGAGCCTCCACTTTCATAGTGATGGTAATCTAAGGCCATAGGTAGACCGCAGGGGAAGAGGGAGCAGGAATCTATACCATAAAACTGTCCAGTTGCACTGCAGCTGGAAACTTCCCCATTGCACCTGAAAATCAACTGCTACCTGAAAGTATTCCACATCCATTCACACCAAATATGACCTTCCAAGTACACACCCCGTCGCACTCGCTCTCACGTGTTGCAGAGTTCGCCTGTCTGTTCCCACGATTCGGCGAAGACGCCAACTGTAAGGAAACGTACCAGTCTGTTGAACTTGATGCTACGGCCAGTCAGTTGGTACAGAGCTGTTCAAGCCTTTATCAGTCTAAGCCCGCACTGGTGCTCTCGACCGTCTGGGCTGCAACGCTCCAGAGTTTTACGGAGGGTGAGCGTGTCAAGTTCGCGCTGTTTCAAAAGGAACCTGTGCACGGCGTATGCTGTGCCCAGGGAGGAAAGGAATATGTTCGGGGGGAAGCATATGCCGCGCTTATCCACCCCGAAACCCCAGCGAGTGAGTTGATGAAACAGGACAACTGGGAGATTTTACCGCACGTTCCCGGTGATCGGTTTCTTAATACTGGGCTATGCATCGCCGGCGAGGATGAGGCTGAGTTCGCCACGATTCTAAAGGTAGGGTGATAATTCTGTCATTACATGAAAATCAGTTCTAATCAAGCCTACATCATCAGGGGCTCGACATATGCATTGTTTGTAGGCCGGAATCCCTCCGAATGACGTTATTGTTTAGCTCGAAGAGTTTATCCAGGACGTTTGCGCGGGCTATTGCAAGTGCTATCCCACAAGGAATGCAACACATCCTGAAATACCCGACAACATCAATAGGGGAAATGAACTTGTTCTCCCAGACGCAAGAGGAACTGGTCAAGTCATGGCAGTGCTCCGAGCCACTCCAAACTCAGTCTTGTTTCCTATTCGACTTTTTGTCTCGCCAGGCAGTCAAGCAATCAGGCGCCCAGGCCATCGATGCTTGGGACGGCCGATGGACCTACCAGGAGCTCGATGAAACATCCACAATCCTCGCATCCCATCTCCAAGCCTGTGGGGTACGGAGTGGGGTGTTGGTCACCGTGTGCTTCGAGAAGACTTGTTGGGCGGTGGTAGCCCTTCTGGCAGTCAACAAAGCTGGGGGAGGCTTTGTTCCGTGTGACCCTACATATCCAGTGGAGAGGAGAGAAAAAATTCTTCAACAGGCTCGCTCGCCGCTTATTCTCACGTCTGCGAAATGCGCGGATCTCTTTGCAGGCCGGGAAAACCCTGCTGTCATGGTCATCTCATCGGCGACTTTTTCAGAACTACAGACAGCGTCCTATCGACGGCCTGTGGACGGAGAAGCCCCTGCGTATGTGTTATTTACATCTGGCAGTACGGGAGAGCCCAAGGGGTGCGAAATATCACACGAAGCCTTTGCCAGTATTTCGAATCATGTCAAGGCGCTCCATCTGGGCCCCGCCAGTCGCGCACTGCAGTTCGCTTCTTTCTCTTTTGGGATGGCTATAATCGAAATATTCTGCGCCTTGGTGGCTGGCGGCACTGTGTGCATGTTGTCTGATGAGCAAAGGTTGAATTCTTTGGCGGGAACCATGACAGAGATGAAAATAGACTGGGCTCTCATGACTCCAACAGTCCTTGGCTCGCTACAACCACATGATCTACCCTATTTGAAGTGCCTTTTAGTTGCTGGAGAGGCGCTGAATGAATCGCAGATTCAGATATGGGGCTCAACGCTCGAGCTTTTCCAGGCGTATGGCCTTACGGAATGGACCGGAATTTTCGCAGTCTCCGACAAAATCACCAGCATACGACAACGACGAACAATTGGCGTTCCGGCTAATGGCCAGGCATGGCTGGTTGACCCAAGGGATCCCCATAAGCTCGTGCCTGTTGGAGCGGCTGGCGAGCTGGTGATCCGCGGCCCTGGTCTGGCTTCTGGCTATTATCGGGATTCTGAGAGGACTCGAGCGAGGTTTTTCTCTTCCAAATGGCTGAATCACTGGAGTTCGCACGGCGGGAGCAGGGTCTACAGGACCGGAGACATCATGCGCTACACCGCAGACGGATCTTTGTCATATGTTCGGCGGGCGGACAACCAAGTCAAAATCCGCGGCATGAGGGTAGAACTGAATGAGGTGGAATATAATCTAATGCAGCTGATACCAGAAGCCAGACAAGCTGTTGCTATGTTGTGGAAGCCACAGGAGCGTGATGGACAACCGGTTCTCTTGGCCCTAATCCAAATGCCGCCGTCCTCCGAGTCGAAGCCCGCGGTTTTGGACAGCACAGATGGTCAATTGCTATTTCTACAGCCCACGGCGGAAAGGAGCCGCGCAATGGATACTGCTCTGGAGGGCCTCCACTCTCGTCTACCAGATTATATGGTTCCACAATACTTGTTGGCTTTGGCTGCCTTTCCAACCACTGTCACTGGAAAAGTCGATCGTCGGAAGTTAGCAAGTCTGACGAATGGACTGACGACTGATGATCTTAAATACCTAGCAGGCCGACAAGCTGAACATCAGGCACCCACAACTGATAGCGAGCGACAAGTATATGACTTGGCATGTACCGTATTGGGAGTCAAGTCTGTGAGCATGGGCGACAACTTCTTCGACCTTGGAGGCGATTCAGTAGCCGCAATGAAGATGGCCGGATTAGCCCGCCGCCGTAAGATCGAACTTACGGTGGCAGATGTCTTCGATCGTCCCGTGTTGAAAGACCTCGCCGTAGCCATTCGCCAGCCCAATGGCTCAATGACGTCGCAAAGGGTCGCCTTTGGCCTTCTCAACGCCGCCGATAGGCCAAGGATCATCCATGAAGCGACCAACGCTATGGATACTGGCCATATCGTGGATATCTATCCATGCACACCCCTTCAGGAGGGTATCTGGGCGCTCTCTGCGCGAAACCCTGCTCTTTATAAAGCACGTGTGATCTCCCATCTTCAGCCGGATGTGGATCTCGATAGATTCAGAAAGGCGTGGGAACGGGTATTTGAGCTCAACGATATTCTTCGGACACGTCTTTTTTCTTCGTCATCAGGCCTGTTCCAGGCAGTCCTACAAGAATCATTCGAGTGGGACACTGCTGAGGAACTTCAAACATATCTTGACAGGGCTGGGCAGGAACAAATGGGTGTCGGAAGAAGGCTTGTCCGAGCCTGTCTGTTGACTGAGAAAGACCAAGCCACATTCGTTCTTACAATTCATCACGCCCTGTGTGACAGATGGTCTCTCAGACTGCTACTCGAGCAGATTGAGAAGCAGTTGTCCCCATTGCCTCCATCAGCGCACCACGCATTCTCTCCATTTATCGAGCACCTTGTCAATATTGCACCACAGTTCGAGAAATTTTGGGTTGACCAGTTTCAAGGATTTGAGGCTTCTCCATTTCCCGTACTTCCATCCCCGGATTATACGCCTACTGCACACCATATTTCCAGGTCAAATGTCGGCCTGCCAAGGCGTGTTCTTCGCGACAGGACTCTGGCAAGCCATCTTCGACTGGCGTGGGCTCTCGTTATTTCGCACAATATCTGCTCGGATGACGTTGTTTTCGGTTCTACTGTCACTGGACGAGGGTCGAACCTAAGCGGCATCGAGACCTTGTCTGGTCCGACTATTGCGACGGTGCCATTTCGGGCAGTACTAAATCCCGCCGGAACCGTCGCCGACGCGTTAGCTGCTATCCAGGCACAGTCAATTTCGATGATGCCGTTTGAGCAAGTTGGGCTACAGAAGATCCAGAGGTATAGTCCAGAAGCTGAGTCGGCCTGTATGTTCCAGAGCACTTTGACGGTGCAGCATGCCTTGCCCAATTCTTTCACACTGTTCAAGGACTGTCAGGAAGGGGCAGCGACACCAGGGGGGTTTGCCTCTTATGCTCTGTGTTTGGAGTGTTACCCGGACACGGAGGAGACCCAACTGGAGATCCAAGTCGCGTACGACTCAAATGTGATACCGGCTACCCGCATGGGGCGCTTGATCGACCACTTCAGATTTGCCCTGTATGAAATTATGGAGGCGCCTGACAAAACAATACGTGAGATCCAACATATTAGTCCGTCTGACCTGATTCAGCTCGGAAGGTGGAATGACAACATTCCCCCCCAGCTCCGACAGACCATCCACGGCGTTGTTCAGGGCCAAGCTGAGAAGACGCCTCATTCTCCAGCAGTATCTTCGTGGGATGGCGACCTCACTTACCAAGAGCTCGAGAGATACTCTACGCAACTACGAGACGAGCTGCTGCTTCGTGGAGCGAAACCCGGTATGCTAATACCTCTGCTATTTGAGAAAAGCCGCTGGGCAATTGTGGCAATGCTGGCGGTCTTGAAAGCGGGGGCTGGTATCGTTGCATTGGACCCGTCGTATCCGGTCGACAGGATGCGCGCAATTTGTGGCCAGGTGCAATCGCCTTTGGGTATCTGTTCAGAGCGATATGCGGCGACTATGGAGAAGATTGGACCTAAACCTATTATTGCATCGGAGTCCTCCAGCACTTGGGATCGTGCCGTTGAGGAGTTGAACCTTCTGGCCGTTGATGCGGATGCAACGATGTATCTCATCTTTACTTCCGGGTCTACGGGAGTACCGAAGGGGGTGATTGTCAGTCATGGCAGTTTCGCGTCGTCAACGTTGGCATACCGAGCGGAGATCAACCTCGACGCAAACTCCCGCTTGTTACAGTTCTGCTCGTTTGCATTCGATGTCTGCTTTGCTGAGATCTTCGGCGCGTTGATGGCGGGGGCTTGTCTTTGCATCCCATCTGACGCCGACCGTATGAACGATATACACCACGCAATGCGGAAGCTCCACGTTACCCATGCATTCTTTACCCCATCATATGCTCGTTTGGTCAAACCAGACCAGGTCCCGTCCCTGAGGGTAGTGATGTTGGCTGGCGAGCCCGTAAAAGCCTCGGATGTGGAGCATTGGGCTCCTCATGTACGCCTGGTGAACGGCTATGGACCATCAGAATGTGCGCCCATTTCTGCTACTCAACACATTGATGGAAGTGCGGATATCCAGCCGCAGGACATAGGTTATCCTCAGGGTTGTGTGGCGTGGGTCTGCGATCCCCGAGATCACGATATTCTTCTCCCCGTCGGGGCTGTTGGCGAGCTGGTCATCGAGGGGCCGAATGTTGGTTCAGGTTATTTTCAAAACGCTTCGGAGACGATGAAAGCCTTCGTGGACGCTCCCCTGTGGCTTAAAGCGTTTCGCGGGCGTACAAGCAAGCGGGTCTATAAGACGAAAGACCTCGTGCATTACACTGAAGATGGCCGTCTGCGCTACGTCGGCAGAATAGGGCAACAGGCCAAGCTGAGGGGGCAGAGGCTTGAACCATCCCATGTGGAGCACCACCTCCTACAAGCGTTTGAGGGTGCAGTGGAAGTAGCTGCCATTGTTGCCACACCAAAAGACGCAGGCGGCAGGGCAACTCTCGTCGCATTTGTGCTTTCTGAGAATGCTACTGCAAGGTCAGGAGAGGATATCTGCTTGCCTGCTAGTGAGGAATTTTGCCTACTCACGGCCTCTGCGCGATCCAAGTTGCAGCAATCACTGCCAGAGTTCATGGTTCCTTCTTTAATGATATCAGTGTCATCGATGCCACGGACCCCGTCCGGAAAACTTGATCGGCAACTGTTGACACTAGAGATCACAAGCCGGACCTGGGATCAGCTCATGCAGTTCGAGACATCTGTAGACTCCTCTCATGTTGTCGTCTCTGACACGGAGAGGGAGTTGCAAGCAATCTGGTCTCGAGTATTGAACCTCCCTGTCAGTGCAATCGGCACCAACAAAAGCTTCTTCCAACTCGGCGGAGACTCCATCACGGCCATGCTGGTGGTTGCCCAGGCTCGTGGTGGCCCGTTAAGTCTAAATTTGACGGTAGAGGACATCTTTCGCTTGCGAACTATCTCCCAAATCGCAACAGGCGCTACTGCTAATTCATCGGACCTCCCGCTGCTAGCCAACCACGATCTGTTAGACACACCTTTCGACCTCTCTCCCATTCAGCAGCTCTTCTTTGAGACAAACGGGCTACAGAAGCAAAACAGATTCAATCATAACCTGTTCCTTCGCCTCAGGCAGCCTGTAACTTTCGACCAGCTAAGATTGGCCATCCATGAAATCGCAGAAGAGCATCCGCTGCTACGTGCCCGGTTCTTGCAGAACGCAAATGGCGAGTGGCAACAGCTTATCCCCAGCGAGATTGAGGGCTCATATGGCTGCAAGCACCATAGACTGACCTCGGCGGACATGGTGAAGAAAGTACTTGCGGGAAGTCGGCAAGCACTTGACATATCCGCCGGGCCTATATTCTCCGCCGATTTGATTGAGATCAATGGAAGTCAGAGCATATTTCTCCTTGCACACCACCTTGTGATAGATATGGTTTCGTGGACCGTGCTGCTTTCTGACCTTGAGACGCTACTGCAGGGACGACCAATCCCGAAAGGACAGTCGACGTCGTTCCAGACCTGGTGTAGTTTACTGGCTGCCCACGGACACAAAACGTTCTCAGTCCCCCAAGAGCTACCGCAATGTGATGCACTCCAGGACTTCTGGGGGACCTCTGACGGTCTCAATACCATAGGAGGGGCCCGCGAGATGGTGATACAAGTTGATACCGCGACCACGGAGGCACTACTTGGCGAAGCCAACAAGGCCCTCGGTACACAACCAGTGGAGTTGCTCCACGCTGCTCTTCTGTTCGCCTTCACCACGACGTTTTCAGATCGCCCCGCGCCAGTCATTTTTACCGAAGCCCATGGTCGCGAACCGTGGGATTCAGGCATCGACCTGACTCGGACGGTGGGATGGTTTACTACCATTGCTCCTGTGCCCGTCAAGGTGGATGCGGCTCATGATATTTTCACTGTTGTGGGCCGAGTGAAGGACACTCGGCGCAGACTCCACAAAAACGGATTAGAGGCATTTACGGCGAACTATTTCAACACAAGGAAGCAGAGGACTAGCCCGGCTGGTAAGATGGAGATTGTTTTCAATTACGGAGGACGGTACCAACAACAACTGGGTCAGGCTGGCTCCTTTTTCGAAGTAGAGTCGCTCCAAACTATGAGCATTTTCGACGCTGCAGATGACGCGAGGCGATGGTCCATGGTTGATATCAACGCCTTTGTCGAAGATGGAAAGTTATCTTTCACATTTACATTCCCGCAAGGATACAACGCGTCTCAGGCTGTTCAGTCATGGACAGCTAGCTTGCGCAACTGTCTGAATCTAGTGGCATCTGAATTCAGGAATCATCCGAGGAGCTACACCCTCGCTGACTTTCCCATGTTAGACCTGGATTATCCCCAATTGGACCATCTTTTGATGGCATTGCACCGTGCCAACATACAACCGCAGGATATTGAGGAAATTTACCCTTGCTCACCCATGCAACGGGGTATACTCTTGTCCCAGGCAAAAGATCCATCTTGTTATCATGTTATCATGACATGGGAGATTGTCTCTGGGGAGAAGGGGACTGCTTCTGCTGAGAGGGCAAAGTCTGCTATAGAGCAAGTCATGGCACGCCATGCATCTCTACGTACATGTTTTATTGAGACGACCTCCGAGGTCGCAGCTTTCGATCAAGTCGTCCTCCGTGAACCTCACCATCAGATCCCCATTTTCCACAGTGGAGAGAATGACACACGAGCACTGCTACAGAGTGACCAATTCCAGCCCAGCCCTCACTCCCCACTACGCTTCTCAATTCATGTGTCCTGCGACCAGAAGGTCTACATTCGGTTGGACATAAGTCATGCCCTGACTGATGCAAAGTCAACTGAACTTTTGAAGCGGGACATTTGCCTTGCATATGAGAACCAACTGAATAGTCAGAGGGGGCCACTCTTTTCCAACTACATCAGTTTTATCCAAACTCGTGATCATGTGGATGACGCGGAGTTTTGGGATACGTACTTGGATGGGATTCAACCTTGTCAATTCCCAGCCCTCACGGAACAGGTCAATACTGAAAGTGGTGTTGCGAAAGACTACGTCTTTGACGCTGCTGGAGTTTATGGAATCGAAGCTTATTGTCGGGATCGCAATGTTACTGCACCAAATGTCTTTGGCCTCGCTTGGGCCCTGGTCCTAGGATCTTACACAGGGGCGGATGATGTTTGCTTTGGTAGCCTCAACTCTGGAAGAGAACTGCCGTTCGATGGGGCGCCTGAGATTGTGGGTCCCCTTATTAACCTGCTGACGATGCGCGTGAATCTCAAAGACGCCACTCTTCAACAGCTCGTTCGACAGGTCCACGCCGACTACGCCGCTGGTTTAGCCCACCAAACGTACCCCGTTGCCGATATTTTCCACCGAAAGGGACTCGGTGGACGTTCTCTGTTTAACACCGGAATCTCTGTCGAACGAGTTTCCAGCCCACAAGATGCGCAGTCCGCTACGGAGTTACGCCTTGTCCAGCGGGTAGACCCCACGGAATATGATATTGTGCTGAATGTCGAAATCGAAAAGACTCGGACGATAGTCCATCTCAGATATTGGTCTTCATGTCTGTCCGACAGCCAAGCGCCGTTGATTGCTGCTTGCTTTGACCAGGCTCTCAAAATGATCATCAATGATGATCACACTCCGGCGTGCCGAGTGAACCTCTTCTGTCAACCTCACCAGGACTTAATCTGGCGCTGGAACAAGGTGCTGCCTAGTTCCCGTGACTGTCTTGTACATGATCTTGTCCAGCAACACGCAACCAAAAATCCCGATGCTCCTGCAGTATGCAGTTCGGAGAGTACGCTCACATACGCGGAAGTAGATGTTCATTCGACCGCACTCGCCCACTACCTATCACAACAGGGCATCGGGACGGAAACTTTTGTTCCGCTTTGCTTCGAAAAATGCATATGGACCGTCGTGGCCATTCTGGCCGTACTCAAGACTGGGGCAGCTTTTGTCCTTCTTGATCCCGGCCACCCTGACCAACGGCTAGAGACCATCTGTCAAGATGTGGGCAGCCCGCTTCTGCTCTCATCACCCACCCAGGCGGCGCGATGCGCTCGACTTTCCAGCACTGTTGTTGTAGTAGGAGGAACACAAGATCTTTGGCGCGGTCTATGCCCAGCGGGGTCAAGTCCGCTGCTATCCGCTGCCACGCAGCCAGGGCCAAATAACGCCGCCTACGCTGTCTATACGTCCGGCTCTACCGGTAAGCCAAAGGGGATTATAATCGAGCATAGGTCCCTCTGTTCAATGATCCATGCGCAGGCCCCTATATTGGATATGACTCCGTCCGCCAGAATGTTACAGTTTTCATCTTATGCATTCGACGTTAGTATCTTTGAGATGCTCATGCCGTTGATGACAGGGGCCTGTGTATGTATCCTGTCCGAGGTGGAGAGGAGAGACCGTTTTGTGGAAACGGTGGTATCTCTCCAGGTTTCCCATGCCCTCCTCACCCCATCATTCTCCCGGCTTATATCACCGGATGCGCTTCCAGACCTTCAGGTCCTCGTTTGTGGTGGAGAAGCGATGACACAGCACGATATGAAGCGCTGGCTTGGTCATGTCAGACTTATCAACCATTACGGCCCCGCTGAGTGTTCCGTGTGCTCGGTCGTCCAGCCTAATATCAACACAACATCTCGCGTCGGCGAAATAGGCTGGGGTGTCGGCTGTGCAACTTGGGTCGTCGACACAGACGATCACGAGCGCCTGGTTCCAGTTGGAGCTGTTGGCGAACTAGTCATTGAAGGGCCAATCGTGGGTCGTAAGTATCTTAATAATCCGACTGCGACTCAAACAGCATTCATTGAGCCCCCGCAATGGTTGCACAACATGCGATCCTCCCTTGGATCGAACAACCGGCTCTACAAAACCGGCGATCTTGTGCGATATGGCTCGGATGGCAGATTGTACATCCTTGGACGCAAGGACACTCAAATTAAAATCAGAGGGCAGCGTCTGGAACTTCAGGAGCTGGAACACCATGTTCATCGATGCTTTGGATCTGCCGGGAACGTGGTGGTAGAGCTGGTTCGCAACGGACCTGACGGCAACCCGAGACTTTTTGCATTCATTGGCTCAACAAAGGAAATGTCCAGTCAGTTCGACGGGTTTAGTGTCGCCGGAAAAGAGTTCCGCGACTGTGCTGCGGCTGCCAGTATGAAGCTGTTTGAGAGCCTGCCATCCTACATGGTTCCAACCTACTTCATCCCATCGGCTACACTGCCCTTGAATTCATCTGGCAAGGTCGATCGCAAGCGACTTCAATCATTAGCAGCAGCTTTCACCCCTGACCAGCTAAAGGATTACTGCCCTTCAGCAGGAGGCCAGCGCAAGCCCTCATCTCCGGAAGAAAAACTCCTCCACGCCATCTGGGTCGATGTTCTAGGCGTCGAACCGGAGACTATTGGCGTTGACGATCATTTCTTCCAAGCTGGGGGTGATTCCGTCAATGCGATGAGGGTTGCAGCATCTGCACGAAAACAAGGACTCAACATAGTCGTTGCAGATATTTTTGCTCATCCTCGGCTCGAGGCACTAGCTAAAGCCGGAACTAGAGGCAAAGTCGAACAGTTTGCTCCGGCGCCTTTCTCGCTGTGCCCTGTGTCAGATCCTGAGCTTTTCACTATGCTGCTTCGCGTCCGGCGCACAATCCCATCAGACTCCCATGTTGTGGACATCCTACCTGCCTCGGCTGCTCAGTCCTTCTTTCTGACTAGGCCTACGCTGCACCACTTCACTTTTGATATTGAGGGTAGTCTGGACATTCGCCGACTGCGCGATGCCTGTGACAAAGTTTTCAACATGTTCACGGTCTTGCGTACCGTTTTCGTCCCACACGAAAAACAGATATTGCAAGTGATTATCGACAAAGTCGATACCCCGTTCCATCACTTTGTGGTAGATGGGGCTATCCCGGACGTCAGGGAGCGCCTGCTGACTGCCGACCGTCAGCATATTCCCCTTATGGGACAGTTGGCCTTCGCTTTTGTGCTTATATCCCATTCTGATGGGTCACGCCATTCGCTGAGTTTCCGTATCTCACATGCGCAATGGGATGGACTGTCCATAGCGGAATTGTTTGGCAGCGTACAGGAGGCATATCATGAAAGGCCGTTGACTCCTAGTACGCCCTTGTCGACCTATATCTATTACCGGGCGCTGCGTGACAAATCGCATTCCCTACAGTTCTGGAGAGAATACCTTCAGGGTTCGACAATCACCCGCATCACCGACGTTCCTAGTGAACTCACTGATCTCAGCCATGGAGACACCATCTGGGAAAACACAAACCTCCAACCAGCCCCAGAGCCACCACTGGGTATTACAATGGCCAGTGTAGTCAAGTCTGCCTGGAGCTTGGTGTTGGCCCGGGAAAGAGGGGCGCGGGACATCGTCTTCGGCCAAACGGTGAACGGCCGCAGTTCTCCTCTGCCTGACATCGACCGAATTCTGGGCTGTTGTCTGAATTTCATTCCTGCGCGCATCCAGCTCCAAGAGTCATGGACGGGCCGTGACCTCCTCCAGCACGCACAATCACAATACCAAAAGTCTGTTCAACATGACGACATTGAGCTGCAGGAGATCATTGACCATTGTACGGACTGGCAGAGTGGGACCGACTTTAATAGCATTGTCCAGCATCAAAATATCCCCCTGAACCATACGATGCCACTGGGGGACTTCCAGTCCACGTTTTCGCCGAACGGATATTTCCGTCCTGGTCCTGAACTTTTTATCTTTACTGAGCCCTTCGGTGATATTCTGAGCGTCCAATTATGTGTGAACCCCAATATGATGGGTTTGCCTCGGGCGCAGTCCTTGCATCAGAGACTTGTCCAGTTGATAGTGGATCTGTGTCGCTCTCCTGATGAACCGATCTCATGCTTCCTCGGGTAAAATTTCGATTCAATATGTATAAGGTGGATAGGTGGTGGTTTAAAGATTATTCTTAAACCATAGTGGAGTGGGTTGATGGTTGATGCATAATGTATATATAAACCACGAACACGCTCGTACTAATTATAACAGACATGATTATTCCCTCATATTTTAGCAACCACTAGGTACTTTGAATTAATATTTCATATAAATATAGACTAGAATTCAGGTTATCTAGTGATATCAAAATTTCTATAGAAATTCGTAATATTACTAAGCAAATACTTGTGGGTTAGTGCTACTAAACTAATAAAACTGCAACATTATAACCAACAGTTCACAGGGTCTAAGATCCTTTAATATAATTAGAAAAAACTTTGCGAGTCTAGTTTAGCTCCCTTATCTTTGGATAGCGGTCTATACAAGATATTTATAATACTTATAGGTAGTAGTTACTCATGCATGCTGTTAGAAATAGGGGGGCTTAATAGTCTCATCACCACTATTAGGATGTTTAAGGCAAACTATAAATGTACCACACCATCTATCACCATACCAATGCTAGGAGAAATATCGACCACATAAATCCAAACTTTGGTGCTCACTGGAGAGGCGCTGACCTTGTGGATTGTCAAATTCTTCGTAGCCCAGGCTGCCCAGCCCCCTTATCTCGCACCACAGGCGTTAAACTGTTTTTGACCGGAGCGACTGGTTATTCGGGCAAATCTCCCATTCGGACTGATACTGTCCCGGATGGGATATTCTTCCGGGGGCAACAGGCTTCCCTGGCGTACGTCAGAGCCGTGCTCTCAGCACGAAGACGATTGATTCTCTGTACTCACAGTATTCCCAGGAGGTGTCAGCTCTCAATGCTGTCGACAGTCTGTGGAGGCGGGGTGGATGCCGCTCATCAACAAATGATAGACTCGAGGATACTTGAGAGTTTCATCTGCAACGTAAAGAAGACTCTGCCCTTGACCTTGAACCTCAAAGCCACTGTTGTCACGTTTCAGACAGGATTTCAAGGAGGTCTGTGACTTGTTTCTTCCATGGAGCTGGAGCTCATCTTGGATACACCGGTTCCTTTTATCGTCATTCGGGAGATTACCATGATTTGTACCAGACCCAGAGGGTTTATTTCCATCAAGAAGAAGCTGTTTGAGCAGGTCATTTTGGGTTCGCAGTCGTTCATTTTCTTCTTTAAGCAAAGCTCCTATCTCGCTCCACAGGTCGTTGGACAAACCATCCGAGGGCCGTCTGTTCTCCATGACCCGGTAAGATTATGCATGAATGGACAAATTTGCGCATGTTATAGGCTGCTGTCGAATAATCAAACGAGTTTCGGAGAAAGGCTGAGGAGACGCGGATTGAGACTGTGACATTGAACAAAGCTGAAACTGAACGTGTGACTGTAGTCGTATTCCCAAAACAGAAAGGCTGCTCAAGGCACCGTTTATCCTTTCTCTCTCTATTTCTTCAGTCTTCTGGACTGAACAAAAATAAACATTGAGACATGAAGCACTTGTGGACTGATGATGCAAAAATGCTAAATTAATCCTTATTGATAACAGCACAGAATCGCAACAAAGGCAGTCCATCTATTAGGGCAAGCGAAATCCACTGGTCCGCGTCTGAAAGAATCCCGCAGGATCATACTTGAGTCTCGTCTGCAGGGCCCGATCCCGCGTCCTCAGTCGACTCCAGTATTCTTGGCCAGCGTCGATGTCATTCATATACAACGGACGATAAACATCTGGCAGAGTTCCATTAGCAATGTACTCCTTAATCAAGCGACCAAATCCTTTGAAGAGCTTCTGCGTGGCATCGTGCATCCGAGCGTCGGACAGCCCCAGTATCCACTGCAGGGTGATCTGAATGAGAATATAGTCCTGGTCTGGGGGAAAGTCAAGCAGATCCTATATCCCGGTTAGCAGCCGTTAGTTGGAAGGTGTACGTAGGAAAGGACTGACTCCTCCGAGCTCCAAGGCTTTCTGTGCGATGCTCCGTGGGAAGGGCTGGAAGGCGATGCTTCCCACCATACCGGTCTCCAGCAGTACCTCGTTGTTTACGTCAAGCCAAAAATCAAAGATGGACTGCAAGACCTCGGGCGACATGCCTTTTGGGACCGGCAGGGTTTCGCCTGCAACGCTGTATCGGCTTCCGCTGTATGGTGTCAGTGCTGAACGAGTATTTTCGGACTCACAACTTACTGAATAATATATTTGTCGCCGTTTTTGAGCTGTTCGAGTCGGTCAGACACGGGTAGCAGATTTTAGATTGATTTATCACCCACCAGGTCGGTATAACGGTCATATGTCCGGGTCTGGTCGACTGGATTCAAGGCAGTGAAGTTGTCAAAGATACCCGCCGGTGGTTTCTCTCCATCATAAAAGAGGAACATGACCCAAATATCGAGCGCTGGTGCGTGCTCTCTGGTCAAAATAATTGAAGCCTTCTCATCCGGGTAGTACTCGACAAAGTCCTGGAGAGCAGCAAGCATCTTCGCTGTGTCAACGCCAGAAAAGATGTAATTTCCTCCCCAAACGGGGTGGTCCATCGGGCGTGTCTGGACGGTATACGAAGTGACGATTCCAAAAGAGCTGCCTCCACCTTTCAAGGCAGCGAAGAGATCCGAGTTTTCATTTGCATTTGCATTGACGATGGTGCCATTCGCCAGCACGACCTCGTAGTTGAGGATATTGTTCGCTGCCCAGCCATACTGCGGACTGAGGTAGCTGAGACCACCTTTTCATCTGCTCAGGAACCACATTCATATGAGAGGAGAATCGAATCTCACCTCCTAGAAGCAACCCCCCAACGCCTACACCTCCCAGTCTTCCGCCGAGAACCGCCCGCCCTGTTACCTCCAGCTTCCCCTGCACATCCTCCCATTTCTGCCCTGGCCCGATAACGGCCGTCTGGGTGGACGGATCATACACAACCTGATCGAGATTCTTCGTGACGATTAGCAGGCCGCCCTGCGTACTCGAGAAACCAAGGTTAGGCGAGTGACCGCCCGATTTCACCGCAAATTGGTCCTGCGTGTATCCCAGCGCGGTGATTACATCCGACATCTCCTGGACATTTTTTGGCACAACCATGCATTCTGGATGGAGATCCCAGCATGCCGCCGACCAGTAGTTGGTCAAGTCGTGCGTATACGACAGCGAGAGCGGATACTGAACCTGGTAGCCATGATCGGCCAGGACGGAGCAGAGGCTGTCCGCGTTGCCTGTCAGAGCGTTGACGAGGGAGGTGACCAGCGAAGCCATATTGCAGTTATACTATTATCTACAGAGTCATAACCCAGTGGTCAACAATATCAAAGGGCCAGCTTTAAGTACGAGGAATGCCGGGAAATGAACCACCACTCCACCAGCCCACCCACTTGATAGATCACAATATATCCCTGCGTCCACTCATGCAGCTCCTGCATTAGCTCTGCTCAATTGCTAGAACCAGATCTGAGTTTCTACGGGGCAAGGAATCGAATCCGCCCATTATGCAAGTCTCGGACCGGGCTTTTTTGTTGCACCCAATCATGCATTGTCGTCTTCATCGCTTGCGATTAGTTATGACCAGTCAACCCACAATTTCTCTCGGTTAGAGTAGCCATTATGATGCTCAAAGGTGAGATCTGAGTGACAACTAGTATCCTGCCCCTCTTGCTCGTAGTACCGAAGTTTATTAAAGGATGGTATTCCTGTGTGATCCCTTTGGCAGTTATGAGCATTAATTACTCTCTGCCGGCGGACATACCCCGTACCCCTGCATTGCCTCCCTGCCTCCCGGCCTCCTTGCATTCTTGTTTACACTCTGTGTTTACCTCCCGCTGGATTGAATGTACGATAGCTCATATTGGATATATAGCGGTGGGTACGGTCCCTAGCTTGAGGGGAAGGCAGGTCTCAACATACGACTGCTCCTCGTCTCAAGCTCACGAATGTCTAAATCCCAGTCTGACACGTCCATCATGGTGATGATGCTTTTATGCGTCCAAATACGAGATACCCTCGACAGTCTAGCCTAGAATGCAGTGATAGTCAGCTCCTGGTGGCTTGCGTCGGCTGATTCTACCCACCAGTAAATCTAACCAAACACCACCAGTTCTTCACGCTAGTCAAGCGCCGAGAAGATCTGGGATCCTGTTCGTCCGAACTCCTCCTCGGCAATCGAATTAAGCGAGGGTCTCCATGCGAGCATAATCAGTTCAGGCAGCCACTCACTACAAGACTTCTCCTAATGCGTGTAAACCTCCGAAAGCTAATACTCTTGATCCCTCAGTTCTCTCTTCATCCATCCATGAGATACAATGGCCACTGCTACGAGTCAGGAGGAGCCATCAGTTGCATCTCACAGGAAGTGTGTGCTCTTGTCACGCGTAAACCGTATGGAGTGCTATCTCTCGCTTCCACATAGGGAGGATTCCCGCCCGAATTGGCTGCACTTGGACTTCTTTCTCGCCGAGACGCGAGTCCTCACGCGTGCTGCAGCTGTTGGTAATTAAGCCACGTGCATAATGCTTGAAACTTTCACGTCGCCAGCGTTGATCGCTCCATCCTGTAACGAACTTCTCAGCGGAGGAACTCTCCTCGATCATCTCAATATGCGAGCGGTCGTCGACAACGTTTACGGTCGGACAATATCTGATGTTTTAAGATATCTCCGATCTAAGAATGCAACCGGATCTGTAATGCCGAGTATGTCGAAGCTCGCGTGATCGAGCTTAGTAGTGTTGTTGCACTGCATGGCGGACTAGCAGTGTCAAAAGTCCCATGACGTTTTCATGTGTAATAGTCTCCTTCGAGTCTCTCAGAATAGGCATGGCGAGCTGAGAGACATTGAGACTTCAGACTTCCTTGCACATCGATATTACGGAGAACTGGCAGACTTTGTGGAGTGTGGGATGCGGGATGCGATTCTTGAGGATGTTTCTGAGATAGTGTGTCTTTCTGGGAGAGATGACGAGTGCTATGATGGAGGGTATTTCACTCCCCTCCAGAGACGTACCCGACCAAGGTAGAGTCATCGTCCTGTGCCTTGTTGACCTGGTTGTAAGTCCTCGCCTTGTCGGGAAATGATTATTCTCGTATCGTGCAAAGGTTGCATGGTACCGCGTGCGAGTAACAGAGTTGACATCCGTCTACTCTTCCTCTAGTCCGCAGTGGCTTATTTCGAATACTGAAAGAAATTTCTCTGAGACTGCATGTTACCAGGCATAGTCGTGCCCTGCTCTCCTCGAATGACTGTCAACCATGTCTGCCTGGGTCGGGAAATGAATAGACCGGATGCGAATCTCGCTGGCAAAAGAGCGGATAAGTTATTTCCAGCGCAGGTCTCGCCAACTGAAAACGCAGCGTGCTACTTGGACAGCGTGCTCGAGATCAATCGATGCCGGTCACGCTGTTGCTGAATTTTGGAGAGTTGGCCGATCCCTCATATGCCAGAATCGTGTCTATCTTCGAATTCCTGGAGTTCAGCAACTTTCTAGACGCTCCACAAATGCTGCATCAGGATTTGACACGTACCTGGCGAAGAGGCAACCATGGCTCTATTCGACGGACACGAAAACGACACGGAATTGAAGTCACCATCCATGAAGGAATCAGTTGTTCCGGGCAATGAAGCACCTACCTTGCAATAGCTGCTGAAGGCATGCAGTCAGGATCGTCCTTTATTGCATCACCTAGAGCAAACCGTGAAAAGGTGGACAACACTGCACAACATCATACGCAACGCCGAGCCCTTCTGAAGCTGTCCGGGCGTATTACGGTGTCGTTCATGGTGAATGATGATGAAAATTTTGCATGATCCAGATGACTCCCAGAGATTTCAACATCTACATACATCTTCAACCTTCCGTTGCATTCACATCTGCCACTGATTCTGAACTATAAAGTCTCGACATCCTCTGCTCAACCTTTCTTTCCATCAGTTGAGCAGTCGACGTCTCCATGTCAGTTGCCACCTGAAGGCAGAGCTTCTGTGCAGCAAGATGGTCTTCTACGCCTACGCCACCTCTGGGGTAAGACTGAAGGTCAACAAAGCAGTTCTCTTGACTAATAAAGCAGGGCTTCGCTGTCTGGCTCATCACGGCCAAGGACAAGGACACTCTCGATGCATGGTTCCGTGCCATGGAAACCTCACAGTTCGGAAACATCGCACGAGTCAACGCCGAATGGTACCGGTACCAAAACTTCCGCATCGAGCATTCAACCACCGACCATCACCTCGCTCAGAGATTTGACGGTCTGATCCTCTTTAAGCCCTTGTATGGCTACAATGATTCGTGGCACATGATCAATAACGGGCCTTTTGTGGATTGCTTTCAATACAACTGGTAGCTCCACCTTGCCGTGTCTTGTAACGAGGTAGCAAGGTAGCTGATCTTTTCTTCCTACAGGTACTACATCCGCTCCAAGAAATACAAATCTCTCTATTGGGACGTGCAACGCAAGTCAGAGACGGAATCACTTCAGGTCTACGCCAGCACCAAATCTCGCGCTCGATTCCATGCCATTAAAAGACTCTGTCCGAATTACGCGCCCTCTCCGGCAGATCAACGCATCATTGGCGACGATCGTATGTATCTTCAGCATGCCTCCGGTTCGGTGTCGTTCATAAGGAACGCCAAGGGATTCTTCATATTGACCATATCCTGTATCCAGTGTCATTTCAGCATAAGCAAGCTCAGTACCAGTTTTGCTCCACAGCCTGACGACCGCATTGCCTATATCCCAGGTTGTGGTGCGGAATGGGAGCTGGTGTATTAGCTAGTTGCCTTGGATCTGGACTTGATGAAGGATTGGTAGAATACTGCAGATGAGACATTTCGAGTGCTACTAGATCAGTGGTAACTTCACAGTCTTGTTACAATGAAGTGAATAATACACCTGCAGTTGAATCTACGCAACATGCGTTGATCATCATCGACATCGATCTACATCTTTAATAAGGATTCGCGTATTCTTTCTCTGAGTTCGTAGTATTGACTGCATCAAGTCCAATCATTCATCATCGTGTACATACGCCGCTGAATCCTCAACCGAGCACCCTGTCCACGTCCTGCTTCCTCCCTCCATCCTCCGCACAATAACATCAACCAGGGAATCAAGCTTCTTTCCACTTCAGTCTGGGCTCTTGTCGTCAATCGCATCATATTATTTCTCTGCAGTCTGTCTGGTGCCTCTGTGCCCGTTGCTTGCCCTGATTTCTTTATCCCTTGGTCATGAAGGAATACTTGTGCACCGGGGAACCTCCAATGGATTCTACCGAGTCACGCGTCGATAATGTGAAGAAAGCAAGTTTTGTAGTGGGATATGGATACTATTGCCCCAGTGATTCTGTGTGTTGATGCGTGAGGTCTAATAGTGAATATCTAATCACACCCTCTTTCTCAGCGAGGTCCCTTGCAACACCACTCTCGCAGCAACAAAGAACACTACACTAGCAACCATCATCGCCCCAGCAAAGACCTGCAGCCCCCAATAACTCCCGTTCTGTTTATTGAGAATCGCCCCCGCAATTGGACTTCCGGTCAACGTCGCGATGCTCATGCAGGTATACAATACTCCCTGTCGTACGCCCGTTTTGCTCATATCCGCCGTGATCTGACTGAGCAGCGCCGGAACCATGCCGACAAACGCTCCGGACGCGAATCCATACAGCAAGCTGAATATCACATAGACTGCCGCAGAGCCAGGAGCCAACAGCGTCCCAGGAATCCAGAGGACGAGGATCGTCAGCGCAGAAAGCGTACACATGGCGATCATCACGTTGAACCGGCCGAGTTTATCTCCAAAGTAACCCGGCAGAATCCGGCCGGGAAGACTATCTCATCAGCATACATCTCAATCCACGCAACTGGAACTGGAGACTAACCTTGCAGCATTTAGAATCGTCAACAGATACTCCGCTAGACTCCGACGGACCCCATCCTCCTGCGCCTCAAGTATCACATAGTTGATCGGCACAAACATCGCCCAGAAGCCAAAGCAAGACGCCAGCATCAGCAACACAAACGGCACTTCCGAGAATGGCCCGATATAATCGCTGAACTGCACCCGCCTCGGCACAGGCGCGATTCGCGAGCGGACCGTCATGTTCGCCACAACCAGTAACGCCAACACCACAAACGCCGAGATGCGCAACGACCATCCGAATCCCACACGAGGTAGCAGTCGCGATAACATTGCGGGGAAAACAACGCCGCCTATCGACGACCCGCTCGACATGATCCCGAATGCGAGCGCGCGGCGCTTATCGAACCAGGTTGCCGTGCAGGCAGAAGCCGGATAGAAGACGAAGCTAGCGCCTAGGGGACTGCAGATCCCCTGCGCAAGGAGAAACTGGTAGTACTCGCTCGAGACGGAGATCATCATGAGACCGAAGACGTGCAGGAATGTGCCGATGAGGAGCATCCATTTAGGGCCGTAGTTGTCGAAGACGCGGCCTAGGACGATGCCTGCGGCGAAGAGGACGAATGGCTCGAGAGACAGGATCCAGGAGATACTGGACGCTGAGTACTCGCGCAATTGATTATGCTGGTAATAATCTTGGAAGACACCGATCGCTATTTCGGTCAGAATTGTTCTGTGCCAGTGACACGGGCAAGCTCACCGTTGACCCACCCAAATCCACAAAAGAGACAGCACCAGGCTCCTGCGACCACTGTCCAAGCATGAAGTCCATGGTCCATTGGTGCAGCGGACTCTTCTTTGGTCTCGTTCGCCGTTGCAGCTACATCGTGCTTCACTTCTGTGGCAGGACTAGGTCCCTTCTCTAGGTTGGACACTTCCGTCTCAGTTTGAGGAGACATATTGGGCTGCAGGATGGATATTCCATCCAGATATTACAGAGCGCACAAGTCGTCCCAGATCACTTTGCAAAAACTTCAACTTGAAGAATCTTATCTACCTTAACCTTTTTGGGTGTCCGCAATCTACCTTCTTTTTTTAGCTCGTATTCTTCTCCAATCAGCAGCGCACCAAAACTGATCTGCCACTACTTTGGAAAATCCATGCAGAGCGCAAGAATATGGCAGTGCCAATCCTAGATGTACAGTAGAGGAAGAAATAAAAATAAAACAAGGTGTGAGCCCAACTCGAATCGAATGGTGATAAACTGAGTGTTTTCTTGGTGCGCAACTATATATCTGTGGCCATGTTATGATAACGGAGTTATATCGCGAGAGGTGACACCCCAGCCTTGATCAATGTAGAGCACCTTATCCAGCCCAATATGGCACGCAGAGAAGGACCCTAATTCCCAGGGACAGTATATGATGGATCAATGGTACCCATCTAAATGATGTCATTGTATTATGAGCATGCGTCCCAGAGATGAAGCTCGCATCCTAGACACTCAAAGTCGAACGCATATCCCTTCAGTTTGATATACGCAACATGGGCGTAGATTACTACCGGAAAAGAGTGTCATATCACTCCTCCGGATTGTCGTCGGCCTACATTTCAGAGGAGATCCACACCCTGACGAAGTCCTACATATGCCCTCCCGAGACCTCGATCGCACCATCAGGCTCCACATCTACAACGGCTCGAGATCCACGAGACCCTCACCGGTCCTGATAAATGCCTGCGACAGCGGCTTTACACTCCGCGCATTCGGCATCGACGATGAGCTCTGCCGTCCAATCGCACAAACAGGCTACCCCGTGGTCGACGTGAAGGACCGCCTGGCATCCGAACATCTGTTCCCCGCTGCGTTCGACTATACCGAGGACGTGGTGAACTGGGCACGGTCTCAACCGGCCCGATTCGATCAAGCGCATATCTCACTGTCAGGTTCAGCGCAGGCGGCAATCTGGTCCTGGCGGTCGCCTCATCTTGGCTGCTCTTCGGCTCTGCCAAAGACAATGAAGAGTCAACATTCCACGCTTTTATCGCATTCTACCCATCCACAGATCTCGCAACCGACCACAGCGAAGAAGCCAGTGGCCAAATCGAAGTGTATGACTCGAAGGATCCTCCCTTTCTTCTCGGAATTCTGCCATCCATGTTATCGGGACCCCCGCGAGGTCGACACGAGAGATCCGCGGGTTTCGCCATCATATGCTGATCCGGCGCGCTTCGACAAGAATATGCTGGTTATCACGACCGAACAGGATCCGTTCACGGTTGAAGGCGAGGAGCTTGTAGAGAAGGTCCGCATGGAGGGTCATAACGTGGAATGTCATCGGATGCAGGAGTGTATGCACGGGTGGAACAAGAAATCGAAACGAGGGAGCAAGGGGTGGAAAGCTAAAGATGAAGCATATGGATATGCTGCTGAGATTCTGAAGGTATGAGAAGGGTTGTCTCAATGGTAAATGTGATTCTAAAACGAAGGGAAGATGTCTCGATGGAAGAGTCGAAGCTAGTCCATAGTAGGGATAGTCTGATATTAAGCCGAGGCACAAAGCAGTCAACAAACGCTCACTTGTACTGACTCTCCTTGGAACCAGTTCCTTGAGGGCACCAGAGAGAGGAGTGAATATGATGACTTGACCTCGAATACGCGGAAAGCACGCTTGTCCCAATTCTCAATGGCCTGTGACCATGCCAACTGCGCTTGTCGTTGATGTGGAGACGGGAGGGGGATCGTCGCGATGGATGATCATCCGCAGCTGAGCTCTCAAATACCTTGAAAGCCACACTCTCTTGTCTTTATAATTCTCTACTATCATCGATGTTATCTCTGCTCTGAGCACACATATATTATAAAGATGCAGCTGCGAGCTGTTCTGTTCCTTGTTGGGACATTCCTGACCTCCGCCGCCCAAGGGTTCGACATCTCTCCATTGGAACTGCAATTCCCGCTTCTCCATCAACTGCGACTGCTGGAAGATGAGACGAGTGCATCACTACACCTGACGTCGTCGAAGGAATTTATAGAGCACAAATTCTCAGTTCCTATTGACCATTTTCACAATGAATCTCGATATGAACCTCATACTTACGACCATTTCAACCTCCGCTACTGGTTCGATGCCAGTCACTACAAGGAAGGGGGCCCTGTATTTCTCATTGCAGCCGGAGAGACAAATGGTACAGATCGTTTCCCGTTCTTGTCTCACGGAATTGTGACCCAGTTAGCCAAGACCTATAATGGTCTTGGAGTTATCCTGGAACACCGCTATTATGGAGAGAGCTACCCCTACGCCAATCTCACCAGGAAGAACATTCGGTTCTTGTCAACAGAGCAAGCAATGGCGGATTACGCTTACTTTGCTTCCAACGTTGTTTTCCCCGGACTTGAGCACCTGAATCTGACAGCCGGCGCCGTGCCGTGGATTGGATACGGAGGGTCCTATGCCGGAGCATTTGTGGCCTTTCTTCGCAAGGTCTACCCGGAGGTCTTCTTCGGCGTTGTGTCCTCGTCAGGAGTCACCGAGGCCATTGTAGATTATTGGCAATATTATGAGCCCATTCGCCAATTCGCACCGTCCGACTGCATATGGAGTATCGGAACGTTCATGGATATTGTGGATACCATACTGATTGAGCATGCCAAGAACGAGACGATGAAATCGCACCTCAAGGCTGTTTTTGGTGCAAATTCGTCCATTTTTGATGATGATGAGTTCTTCGCTGCGGCTCTCTCGAGTACCCCCGGAGCCTTTCAAGGCCGCAATTGGGACCCTGCGGTCGGCTCTGGTACTTTTCAGAGATATTGCAAGAATCTCACGAGCCCGACATTGCTCTATCAGCACAATAATACCATAGAGGCGTGGACGAAGGAGATCATCTCGGCCACAAAGTATGATGCAACCAACTCCAGCCTGGTCACAGGCATGCTCAATTACGCTGGTTACATGAACGCTACGCTTTTCTCCCATCTTGATGAGCTCCTCCGTACCTACAGTCCCAAGTCACCACAGTCCCTGGAAAAATCAACAAGTGTTAGCTGGGGGTATCAGGTCTGCACCGAATGGGGATACTTTATGCCAGGGTCGAGCGTCCCGAAAGATAGACTGCCTCTTATCTCCCGTTTAATCACGCTTGCCGGAGAATCTCAATTCTGCAAGGAGGAATTCAACATTACCACGCCCCCTGATACCGACAGGATTAACAAGCATGGCGGGTTCAACTTCTCATATCCCCGGGCGGCCATTATCGATGGACTGGCCGATCCTTGGCGTGACGCGACGCCGCATGCCGACGGTGCACGGTCAAGAAAGTCAACGGACGAGGAGCCGTTTATCCTTGTCGATGTCCCGGCCGAGGACGTCTGGGATGGAATTCGCGGTGCGGTACACCACTGGGATCAGAATGGCTTGTCCAAAGAAGATGTGCAGCAAGGGAAAACCGCACCAAAGGCCATAGTCAACCTTCAGCAGGAAATTGTACGGTTTGTGGGGGTGTGGCTGGAGCAGTGGAGAAAACACGAGGATGTCTCGGACCTGACGGCGAACACGGCAGTTGAGAATCGACAGCTGGTACTTAGTTGACTCAATTGGTACTCAAGCTTGAAGAGTGTGCAGATTTGATTATGACATATTTCCTAGTGATAGCGTGACATTGGAAGCTCTGTACCGAGTAGAGTGTAGCATGTGTTCAAAGCTAGAAATCTCCACCCGGGAGAAACGGTTTCACTCAACTCTCTGGTCAAAGCGAATCGGAGACAATGACACTGCTGATCCAAACCAATAGCATCGACAAGGCTGAAACTAGCTTGTGAATGTCGCAATTAATAGAGTCTGTCAATTGGACTACGTGGGGCAGACACCCTTCCCACCGCGTTGATAGGTTTTCCACTCCACAGATCCTAGCTCCCGGAGCCGAAAATAACTGAACCGTCAATATTTCTGACTACCCATCTCCACATTCGCAATTGACATTATGATGACAAACGCAAAGTGGATTAATCACAGGCGCTGAAATGGTGGAGGCTGATCTTAGTGCTCACTTTCTGTCTCCGTACAGCCACGCCCGGCATAGCAAAGGTTTACGGACGGACATTGCTCAACCCCGACCGACCCTGGACCCTGGACAGTGCACACGGGCACTAATTGAGTATTATTTCTATGTTTAGGGCGCTAGAGTAGGATATATTGGGAGTGTCTCACAGGCTACAGCCGCGTCTCACTCTTAACTGTCTCGCCGCGGGGTCGCTTCCTTCTTCATCTGTCTTTGTCGAGCTTACCCCGGCGACTGATATAACCATCCACATGTGCCCGATACCCTTCAGCACGCTCAAACCGAGCTAAGGTTTTGAATACGGTCGCGTTCGACATGAAGCCGTTGGAATTAAAGCTGAAGCCGGAATTCCGCCGTTTCGCACCAATGGCGCTGGCCGCTGTCCTGTTCTTCTGCACTCTGGTGCTCTTCTACGAGATGATGCCGACTCTGCACGAAACGGTCAGAAAACCGACACCCAGCAGTCATGGTACTAATCCCGGGCCATCCGGCGGCCCCAGCGACGACTTCCAGCATACCGACCGGCGGTGCCACGCGGCGCCAGACCCAGGGAACATCCTGTTCATCGTAAAAACCGGAGCGACGGAGATCTACGAGAAACTGCCGACACAGTTGCTGACGACGCTCGGATGCGCGCGGGACTTTCTGATCTTCTCCGACCTCGAGGAGCAGATCGGCCCGTACCATATCTTCGACGCGCTGGCAGACTTCAACGCAACAATGAAAGCCACGCATGCCGACTTCGAGCTCTACCGGCAGCAGCAAGCGTACCAGCGCGGAGGCCTGGATATCGCCACGCTCAAGGACGATGGCAAGGCCGCCTGGACGCTCGACAAGTACAAGTTCCTGCACATGGTGGAGAAGACGTGGGCGCAGCGGCCGAACATGGACTGGTACGTTTTCATCGAGAGCGACACGTACGTCGTGTGGACGAATCTACTCCTTTGGCTGCGGCAGTTTTCGCCGAAGGACAAGCTGTACATGGGTTCGGCGTCCTTTGTCGCGGACCAGGCGTTCGGCCACGGCGGGAGCGGGTACGTCATTTCGCGAGCGCTGATGGAGGCGTTTGTGGGGAAGAAGCCGGGGACGGCTAGTCGGTATGACGATGTCATTCAGAGCGAGTGCTGTGGGGATTTCGTGCTGGGGCGCACCATTAAGGAGGAGCTCAACGTGGGGGTCCGGAATTTCTGGCCGCAGGTGAACGGGGAGAAACCGGCGACGCTGGAGTTTGGATCGAAGCAATGGTGCCAGCCTGTCGTTACGATGCATCATGTTATGCCGCGGGAGCGCAGTGCGATTTTTGATTTCGAGCAGGCGCGCGACGATGTCACGGTATGCTATGGCCCGAGTCCAAGATAGAACGCAAACGCAGCACTAACAGATCTAGATACCGCTTCTCTTCCGGGAACTCTCCGAGCTGTCCTTTCCAACCGGGAGGATGCGCGTCCAGGAGGACGACTGGGATAATCTCGCCGATGTGCCGGTTGAACTAGACAACCCGTCGATGGAGGCCTGTCGCGACAAGTGCCTGAGTCAGGACACCTGCTTCCAATGGCGGTACAGCAAGGAGGAGTGCCATGTATCGACCGAGTCATTCCGGATAGGAACAAAGCGACTACCGGAGTATCACCGGCGGTGGTTCTCAGGATGGAACGTGCAGCGAATCCAGAAATGGCGCGATGCGCATCCATGCGACAAGCCCGCGTGGGTCAAGCCGCATTAATCTGTACATAGATAGCATGTAGCATATTATGATAACGAGCGATTCATTCCATGTCTATGACTTGCACCAGCAACAAGCATCTATATCTATACCGTAGTATCTAGCTAGTATGAAACCGCTTAATCCGCCGCATCCTCTTCACCGACCTCACGTCATCAACTCTCTCCAGACTGTCATCCAACCGCTCATTCGGCAGCACAATCGCCCGATCCAGCTGATACGGTAGGCCCCGATGCCGCCCGCGGATCATCATCGCACAGATAACCAATTTGCTGAAGACGGAGAACTGTCCGCTGAGGGAGGTATTCACAGTCGGATAGCCTAGACTTAGACCGACGTTTGCACTATCACACATCAGTACGCCAGGATAGAAATCAGAGAGGAACGGGACAGGACATACTACGCGGACACAACCTCAAAGAAAATGGGGAAAACGGCGAATGCCTATCGTTGTCAGCTTTCCCAAATCAATACTGAGTAGGAGAAGGGAGGGAGGGTACCGGCTCCGCGGGATCCATAACCCGATCCGACTCCGCAATGCAAATACAAAAGATCCCCAGAAAGATATACCACAAGTCAAAGGTAAGCTGGTTGCGGATATGCGATAGAACATAGGACCGGCCGTCCGACTCATCGATAGTCGCCGCGTCGTCGGGGTAGATGCCCAGCGCGCGTTCCTCGTAGGTATTTGACGCGCGGACGCTGATCGCGATGGGGTAGATGGCGATGTACATCATGACCAACAAACTAAACTGCACCGCGGGATTGACGTTCGCGAGGTTGAAGACTGCCGTACCGGTATGGCGGGCTGACGCGGCCTGGAAGATAGCGGCTAGGACGCGGGGGCCGGGGGGCAGGACGGTGACGGTGGGGTTGTGGAGGTCGAGGACGACGATGAGGATGACGTCGACGAGGTTCATGGTGAAGAGGATGGCGAAGAGGACCCAGGTGGGTTTGCTGGGGAAGAGGAGGGTGTAGCAGCGGCGGGGGTGGGTGAGGAGGAAGGCGAGGGGTTCCTGGAGGGATGAGCGGCGCGGGCAGAGCTTGGACATGGTCCAGATGATGAAGCGCAGGAGGCAGGGGTAGAAGGTGTTGCCGGCATAGGCGAGGAAACTCATGACGAGTAGAGGGAAGGTTGCGTCCTGAAAGCTGACCATTGAGTCGGGGGTGAGGGTGAAGCCGAGGTTGTCTACCATTGACTGGGCGGAATAGAAGGCCCTACTTTCTTAGCATTGTACATATGAGGTATACAGCAGACTCACCACCAGATGTTTCCTTGGCCGCATTTGGCAAGGTATTCACGATACTTGGGATCTGCGTGCTGGATCCAGCCGACCAGGCAGATTGCACCGAAGAGATGAAGTCCGAAGAAATACCCTGTTCGGTTAGTGTTGTCCTGCAAATTTGGAAGATGACTTACCAGTGACAATCTTGAGCAACAGTTTCAAACTGCGGTATTCGATCCCACCCAGCATCTCCCGATCCTCGTCGGTCAGGTTATGGAATTGCGAGTTCCGGCCGATCGTAGCGTGCGATGATAGTTCAGGCAGGTCCAGCTGCTGCGAAAGGGGCGGCTCGAGGGGCTGCGTCTGCGCCCTGGAGGGATGGCTTGCGGAAGGGCCGAGGACAAACATCGTGGACGCAACTCGCTCCAGCGTGCTTGTCCGAGCCAGCTTGAACCGCCGGCGGGAAGTACCGGGGTGGATCTGAGCGTCGGCGGATTTGGTTCGCTCTGCGACGGTCAGTTTGTTATGGTCAGCGTCAGGAGCTGCTTACCACAGTCGCTCAGCTCATCATCGACTTCCACGATGGGCTGTCCTCGATCTCGTTGCCAGGGAGGAGGTACGTATAGAGGCCTGTCCCGGCTAGCATCGTGCACATCTTCGGCAAAGGTGATACTGTGAGAGGGGAACCGGGAATCTGGATTGCGCAAGGGCGGACTCTGCGACTCAGTCCGAAAAGAATCTTGTCTGTGGGCTGTGAGCAATATCCAACCTAACCAAACGGACATGCTCACTTCTCTGTAATTGGGGCATCGGAAGCTGTGGCCGTCTTCGAAGTACTGTCCGCTCTCGCTTCTGCATCATCTTTCCGTCTTTGCCGGAGAAGGATAGGGGCTGTACCAGATCAGCCAGCCAGCTCGAAGGCAAAGGACGGTCAAAGGCAAATATATTGATACATACCAACTTCCTTGAGACGCTTTTCGAACCAGCGCAACCGTACAATCACCACGATTATGTTGACGAAACCCAGATTGCTGATAATGGGAGTCACATAGATGTAGACCTGTTGATACGTTTTCAAGAGATTGACATCAACACTAGGGGCGCGTCAGTATTTCCCGTCACGAGAGGATCAAGCGACCAACGTATTCAGTCCGGATTCTGTCGAGGCACTGGCCCCGAAGAAGAACGCGTCGATGGCTCGGAGATTGCCATATGGATAGATAATTGCCAAACTGAGGATGCTCAAAGTGATGATATACGCATCTGCAGTCGAGTAAGTTTTAGTCGCCCTTTGCTCCAGAAGCCTACTGACAATGCAAAGTGATGAAATTGAGGGAAGGCTTCCACATCCCTGGTACTTGGTCAACTGACACGCAACGAGGCAGCTGAAGAAGCACTTGAAACGAAAGTAAGATGCAAAAGACAGAGAAAAAGAAGAATGCATCTCTTTAAACATGCGTCACTGCACGTGGGGTGAACCATGTGTGTGGGTGGCGGTGCATGAAGCTATAATCCTGATAACCTTCCTTTTAGCGTGCGGGATTTATCTGGGCCAATCCTCGAGGCAATCGGACAGATTGGAAGATATTGCTCGGTGCGGGACGACAAACCCCATGCTTCTCCTTATCATTATTGGCAAATTCTTTCCCTAAGGCAGATTGTCTGCTGACCTGCATTCTATATCTTGTACGACTAAAATATGCGATCTGCAAGCCCTATTTGATGTCACACATGTCACAATTGACCGGTCATCACCACAACCTCACCAGTTCACGAGTAGACAATTATTCATCTCTCTGCCTCAATACCTTAACGGTAAACTCTACCGTCAGCTGACCAGTTGGAAACCTCCATCCCCCGCTATACTGTCCGAGTCTCTTGACCCCCAGCACCACATCACAGATGAAAAAGACCAGATGTAGAGTCCTAGAACAATCAGCTTGCACCAACAACAAATAGTGAAACTTACATGATAGCCAGCTCAAACACAAGCCCGACAAGTATCACCGCCCTGATCGCGTCCGCAAAACTGTCACATCTCGTCTCGAACCCTGGAGATGGAAACCCATCACGGTAGCCATCGCATTGTCCCCAGTTTCCAATCTCAGGGCCCGAAAGAGCAGGATTGCCCGAGAAGAGGAGAACAATCAAAAAATCGAAGACGACGTTGATCAGGAGCCATGCGCCGGTGTTTGGGACCGTCAGTTTGAAAATGCCGAACAAGCTCGCGACCGCGCATAGGAAGGTCTATACGCGTGTTAGAGACGCGATCCTATTGACCAAGGAAAAGTCATACCAGTGGGAGCAAGGCTTCAATGGAATCTCTCATACTCCAGGGGAGAAAGTAATAATAAGGGGAGAGTTTCACCACCAGGTGGACGATGAGGCTGTACAAGGAGGTCACGGCGGAGGTAATAACGGACGACCAGATGAGGATGGTGATAATCCTTGACGCGCATGTTGGCCGCGTTGTGATAGTACCCTCGTCGTTGTGGTCATTTTGTCCAGGGAGGAGAGGCGTTGTTTCGTCCATGTCGAACCTCGAAATGTTGATGCGTTGAAAGGGGATTCATGAGGATGGGGGAGTTAAAGCAACAGGTGTCAAGCTAAATACGATCTAACCGAACCGATACTAGTTAATCACTCTAGGCAGAATCACTATTAGAGGCCTTTCGCAGCAATTAATATAAAATTTTATGTACTGGTGGCTAATCCCTCCAATAATATCCTTTAGGACCATAGCGCCTATCATCAATAGCTTGCTATTCTAAACGCATGTGAATGTATCATTTAGCGTTCCGTATATAACCCAATGATAAACTGAGTGTCACAGAATCCTCCTTGAAAGTTGCTGGATTTGTTATAGCCACAGATCTTCAACTATAGGGTTCTCAAAGCTGATCCTATTCTATGCAGATTGATATATAACAAATAACCTTGCCTCAAGAAAATGCCTTTGTCTGTGCTGACCACCCAATGTTGTATCTATTGACCAGTTGGCCAGCAGTTTCATAAATACAGGATACACACACCTCTTTTATTCATAGGTATACAGCAATTGAGAAGACCTTATGCACTTCTCGTTTAATTAAACAAAAGCCACAGAAGTAAATACCACAAACCCAATCCCTTACCATCTCAAGCCTATTTCTTGTTCCCATTCATTGGTTTGCTGCCCTCCGCGAGCGCAGTGCAAAATACAGTAGAACATAATTCAGCAGATAGGCTGTAATGAAAATACCGCCCAGGATAATAGTGGCATCGCTGCACCGCCGGCGGGATGTTGCCTTGTCCAGTCCTTGGTAGTAGTAGCAGAAGAGATAGGATGCTATTGGGCCAAATGCGGCACAGATTCCGGATCTGATCTCATGTTATTCTCATTCCTTTTGCTCGGTAATTTGAAAATTGATCTTACATGAACATGATTTGGTAGACAAGGTCATGTAGGCGCCAAAGAAGGGTCGGTGACTGGGCATTTTGTCGGGTTGTTGCCGGGTATGAAGGACCTTTTTCTGGTCTGGTTGTACTCATTGTGTTGCTAGAAAACAAATATGATGACTTCATGGTCAGGTATTTGAAAGGTTCTCGCATTGATCTCCATGCGGGCCGCCAAGAATAGAAGCTATTGAAGCATTAACCAAGCGAAGCCTAGCAGTGGAGAAATGAAATATCAGAATGGAATCAAATAGCAGTGTGGATTCGGTCTTAATCATCTTATGTAACGGAAACCCTCTGTTCCTCGCAACAAATTATCCTCTATCAATGCAGACATATACACAGTATAAGCCATTCTCTACTTAAAATATTACTGTCTCTCCAAAACTTCTGCGACGGATCGGAGTAAATGAAATAAAGGCGGGATTCCCAAGCCTGGGGATCTTCAAAGTCCCGTCAGGTAACATGGCAGCATTTAGACACCTCTCTGGTCAAGGAAGGGAAATCAAACAGGGTTCTCCAGTGACATCAGCAAAGATGTGCTTATATCAGGCAATTCTGGGTTGCTATCATATCCAACTAGGTGCTACGAATATATATGTACCTTTCTCCTGCGGGGTGGTCTTTGCTGCTGACGTGAGACTGGAGCTGTTGCCTTCAATTTGCTGTAATAGTGTACTGAAATAGAGGCGATGGGTTTATATATTCTCGACCAGCCACTGATTCTGACCCGATAAATATAATCTCATATTCTCTGTATAGACACTGGAATCTTCTCCATACATCCACCGCTATAATAGCTCTTTATTGCATGTTGTAACAGGCAGACAAAGAAAGCAGACAACTAAAGCTCTTTCCACGTTACTATCCTACTCTGATACTATATATTTATTTATTACGCCATGATGAATGCAAACCGAGGCGCCAAAATAATTCTGCACTGGTAACCCTCGCTCCCAGTACACCCGCTCTCAAGCTCACTCTACCAGGCTGGAAAAATCCCGCGCCCAGCGCATCATGTGGCTCATGGAAGAACTGAATCTGTCCTACGACATCAAAACTTACAAACGCGGCCCCAACGGCATCGCTCCCCCGGAGCTGAAACAGATCCACCCACTAGGAAAATCGCCCATCGTCTCGGTCCAACCTCCGGACGCCTCTCCCATGGTCCTTGTCGAGTCGGCCGCCATCATCGAGTACTTCCTCGACCATTTCAGTGGACCGAACACCCATCTCGTTCCACAGCGGTATCGACCCGGGCGCGACGGCCAGGTAGGCGGCGAAACCGAGGCCTGGATGCGCTATCGGTACTATATGCACTACGCAGAGGGGAGTCTCATGTCTCCGATCCAAGTGCAGCTCATCATGAATGGTATTTCCTCCTTCCTCATCCCGTCATGTCCCTGGCTAATGCAGGAGCAATAGCACTCAAAAATGCTCCCGTCCCCTTCTTCATCAAACCCATCACGGGGTTCATCACGGGAAAAGTCAGCGCCGAGTTTCTCGACCAAGAACTCCGCACGCATTTCCGCTTCCTCGAGGACCAGCTGGCATCGGCCCCGGAGGAAGGGCCGTTCCTGTGTGGTTCGCGGCTGACGGCCGCGGATATCCAGATGAGTATTCCGGTTATTGCGGCGCTGAATCTTTCTATCATTCCGCGGAGGGAGTATCCGCGGTTGGATGCTTATGCTGGGTTGATTCAGAACGAGCAGGGGTACCGCCGGGCTGTTGAGAAGGTGGAGAGGATTGAGGGGAGGCCTTTTGTGCCGATATAGCTGTAGTCCTGGCAATTAATTGGACCAGAGTAACTGTAGGATTGATTAGGGCTAGAACGGATATGTTTTAATGCACGCCCCAGTCAGGGTTGCTCCAGGAGGACGACATGGCACGGATACAGCCTGTGTAACTAGAATGCATGAGACATGGCTTGTACGCTGACATGCCTCGTCTGGAATCGTCCATGCATGAGAACGTAATCCCCGTCAATGGAAGTCTACAGATGGCTGAACATATGAAAGTCAACTAGAACCATCTATTGAGTAGATATGTACTCCTCCTCTCCTTCTCATGCGATTGCGGTTATGTGCGCTAACAATGTTGTCTGGATGCCAGGGTTATAATCTGTATGTCACCCATACTACAGAAGGGCACCACATACCCAGTCGAGTTCTACACAGGCTTCTGTACGTATTAGGCGTGAAAGCTGGACAGTTATATCCGGATGGAAGGTATTCTTGGAGGAAGTCGCGTGTAATGCGTTAGATGCTAGCCTCGCTCGAATGCACGATATGCTCGATTGATTAACTAATGTCATTCGTAGGCCTCATCATCCCTAGATCGATAGTTCTGCTTCCAGCGCTTAATATCCCTTTGACTCAGAAAGCTATACCATCGTCGGTAGTACTCGATTGGATCGTCAAGGGCCTGGTGCGACCATAGTCCTAGCTGCATCATCCGCCTCTCCTCCCAGAATGCGAATCCATAGCGAGCATACGGGTGGAACCGCATATACTTGGCCGGTCCGGCCGCGGGATTCCCACCATACATACTGCGCCAGAATTGGATACCGAGCGGTTCTCGGTCAAGGTCTTCCCACTCCGGGCCCCGCAGCGACTGGGGCCCATAATCACGAACCGGGGGAGGCACATAGGGCTGCCGTCGGTGCCAGACATAAAATTCATCTGGAGGAGACGGGGTGGGGTCCCTCAAGATGCAGACGATCGCGCCTCCTCTTCTAAAGCCATACCCGCTTGAATCAGAGCTCGAGTCGGAGCTTAATTCTTCGTCTTCGGTGCTGTCTTCGGTGTCGTCATCGAAGTCCTCAGCGGTGTTCCATTCATTGTCGTCGGACGATCCGTCCTCGGAGTCTGTTCCGTAGAAATATCGACGTAGTTGTCGTCCAGATGGCTGTACAGCTTCACCTGTCAGGTCTGGAAGAGGCTGGGACGGAGACTCGGGGCTGTGTTCAGGACTCTGTTCAGGATTGATGAGATCATGGCTACTAGGGTCTTGGCCTGCCGCTGGGCTAGACTCATCGTCGCCTCTCTGCTGAGTGTGCCCTGAGTGTTGCAGTGGGAACATCACCTCCAAATCATGTTCATAATCTTCAAACGTCCGACCCTGGGTAATCGCTCTTGATGAAGGAGGAGGCTCGCAGACCCAGTCAAACTTTCTGTCACTCGGCATGCTCGGCAGCGGAAAGGAATCTCGAGCCAGTGTCTTGGAGGGGTTAAAGAACCTTCCCCCTGGTAAGATCTCAGTGATGAAAACCAAAGCTGCAAAGCCCTGGTAGATCTGAGCATTGTATTTATAATGATCATAGAGATGGCTCGAGGCCAGTTGTTCTAGGTCGGCCGTGGACCATCCCAGAGCTCCTTTTGCACCTTCAATCTTGAGTTGATTCCAGAATAGCAGGCGCCAAAATGCAAGAACGGTCCGTTGCTCCTCTGTCCATGTGGGAAGTTCGAACTCTGGGGGATACTGTCGTAGGCCTAATGGACTCTCAAGGCATCGCTGGATCATTCGTTCGATACATAGATGTGCCAGGACATGGATATAGTGGGCGAGATAGACAAACTTGCGCAGCTGTGCCGATGATGCCAAAATTCTAGTTGCTGGTCGGATGTAACTGCCCATGAAATAGTCGACGTCCCCATATTTTTCCCATTGAAAAGTGCCCACATGGATGGCGAGGATTCCCTGCATGACAATTCGAGTCTGGACAGGCACAGCTAAAAGCATGACTCCAGAAACAATGTCACAGGCTCCATTGTTAAACACAGATAACATCAGTTGTGATGTACGCATAAGACTCCACACCGAGGAAAAATCAGCACACTGCTGGAAGATGGCGACCAAAAGCTCGCTGGGCAGCTGGGACAGCCGATCAAGGCTTGGGCCGTGCGACTGTTGAGACATTCTCACTGACCAACAGTTGTTAGTTGAAAGATGAGAAGTCTCGGCAGATGAGCGGCTGAAAAGGCTTGATCGTAGGATGTTTTAATTAATTAATGTCTGAGTCACTCCAAGGCGCCAACCACATGTGACATGCATACACATAAGTCACACTGGCAGACCTCCCCTGCAAATGCAATATCCGCGGAATAGATCCGTAATCCATGATATGAATTTCTCACCTGATGCTCCGATTGTTGCCGAGAGGTTATCAAGCAGGAGGGCCCTGTTGTGCAACCCGTCAAATGGTATGGTCTTCGTGGCCAATCTGGGTGGAAAATATCTCTGTCTGGTTACATCGGGACGAATGGAGGCATAACTCGCAAGCTTCCATGTTCGGGCCTAGAGTGCTTGTTTCCTCCTTCCTTCTAGAGAGTATCAATACCAGCATATTAGCTGGGAATTGAATACTAGTCTTAATGATCAATCAAGGGAGCAAAAGCAAGAGGCAGTTAGACTGGATTCCAGGATCAGCTATAATCGAAGTCTCGTCCACTGAAATCGAGGAGACACCGGCAAAGTCCGTGTTTGTGTGTAATTTCCATGGATCGAAGACCACCGATCATCCTCGACAACTTGTTCTCATCATATCGACCCATCGTGGTCATGGCCCAACCTCGTCCTCTCGATGGCCTTTCATTATTACCAGGGCCAGTCTTGGAGATGGTTCTGGTGCAGCTCGATGACCTCGCAGCTCTCTACAGCATATATCGCTCCTCACCAGCCGTCTTCCGCTTGCTACATGAGGATAGTACCGCAAGGCGCATCTTTCAGAGGATCATGGAACTTAGCGTTCCCGCGCAAACTCAAGTCTTGATCCGCAAATTTACATTCCTGCGATGGAATGTTCGTCCTGCTAAAGATCTGGATGACTTCATTGAAAAGTACATCAAGGATGACACTGCTTTCGAGTTCCCTCACGACATTCCACTCTCCGTTCTCTGCGACAGTCTTGCCGCTGCAGCAACTATCCGCTACCTAGCCCATGCTGGCATGCATGAGATGATAGCTCGCTGTCAGCAGCTAGAGCTCATGCAGTTGCAAAATCCAAACTTGAAATATATCCGGAACCCACACCGAACGCCGGCTCTATGGAACTCGGAATACTTCCCAGTGCCAAAGCCCCCTCGAGAGCGATATCAACAAGCCGATGCTATTCCTGTATCAACAATCGAAGAGCAGCGGGCTATTCGTGCCATTTGGCAGCTTTTACTAGTCTGGGAGCTGCATAGCTTCGTTTACGGACAGAGTCATCGCTGGAACTGGCCTTCCGAAGAGGTCAGCCGACTCCAAAACATACATTTCGAGGAAATATGGTGGCATGCCCTGCGGAACCAGGACATAGAGCCAATTCGAACCATGAATGAATGTAGCTGTCTGTTTCCGACCTTGCAATACCCCGGAGAAAAACTTCGTGCAGCAAAAAATCTCGCGTTCACTTTAGGATGGAAGTTTCCTTGCGATTGCTCGTCTCCCAACGCCTCTCTTGTTCAGGACATAGATGATATGGAGTTTAGGCGTGGTACGCCAGGTTATTCATTTGTGCTTGGTAGATTATCGAAATGGTACACCTCGCCCTGCCGCTACGTGACATTTCGCCCCTTCCGTCGCTATGGCTTTGCAATCTGGGATCTGAGGCGTATGCAGGGCCTGGGTCTTCTGTGGGCGCCAGCTGATTCCCCCCAGTTGCCTCAAGCTCCCAGATCGGAACCAGACCAGTACGTTAGGTGGGAAAGCATTCTAAATCAGGAAGATCTGGAGGAGATCGAGCAGCGACGGAAACATTACTGGCCAGGGACTGAGATCGTAGCCGTTGAAGACCCATGGTCAGTCACGTCACGAGCTTGAGGTCTGGATCTTAAATTGCTATTGCCAGGTCTCATTAGATTTCAAATTGCAGTGGATCTTTAATAGTGTGATATACAGACAGTCGCCAATCCTGCTTGCGTCTTCCTCCCCCTCCTCTACCACTTCGCCTATGCTTCAGTACATCTTCCATTCACTTCAACCCCTTTCCGGCTCATATGTATCGCTTCTCAAACATTAAGATGGTGAGTGTCCAACAATCTCAAAGGCCATATTGGTGACCAGGTCATCACCCAGTGGCTCTTTTGATCTGAACAGTGAGATGGAAGCGACAGTGATAATATTATTATAGTCTATTTAGCTATTTAATCTTACTTCTCTCCTTCAGCAAACTGCTTGAGCAGGCATGTCTAGGTAGGTTCTGTTAATAGGATAATTCTAGGGCTCTTATTGCTATCATGGTGCTGAGTAAATAATTACTTAATAAGATTGCCTAGGCTCCATTGCGTGATGTAACCATATAGCCAAATTTTAGGCTACTTATGCCTTGGTATTTAAGCTAGTTGTAAAGACCAATCAGCAGGGTCTCAGCTTCAGAACAGGGCAATACTGTATGTCGAGGTATCTATGCTAACTTCTTTTCCTTTGTTACAAGGACCACCAAGTCTCAGGTACCCCATTAAAATATACATGGATCCCAGCGGGAGGCCAGGAGACAAGCTTTCCCATTCATTGCTATTAGCCCTCTTGGTGGGCTTGATAAAGCTTGATATAATTTACTATAGCTTTAGCCCCTCCCATTCTTAACGATAGAATTAATTATAGAGGCAAGAGAACGTAAAGGAGAGAAAATGTTCTCAGAGAACATATGAAGATGTAGGCCGACGGGGCTAGAATTGGTCCTTATGCTGAACTTACTTCATTCAGCTAAGAAGCCTTCACGCACTTGTGATATTGCACTAAATCAACCTGCAGGGGTGGGTTGGACTAGTAGTTAACACTTCGGGCGTCCAGGATCCTTTCCTTTTTTCCTTAGTATACAGCCAAGGAAAGACACTGATTGATACTGGAAGTAGGCGGTACCGGGTAAATCTCCAGGAGATGAGATGGGTGGAAAATATCCCTGTCTCCGGTTACATTGGGATATGAGAGAGAGACCATGCCAGCGCAGGGGTCCGGAAGGCTCACTGTACGGTTTAGTGAGAAAATGTGGATCAACTAGGGTTCACAGCCTCGCAATCACTACATCTCGGAACAGCAGTAAATCGTCGCTGCGCCGACAGGGATCAGAAACCCAAAGTATTTTCAAGGCAGGCGATTTGGGAGTCAACAATTATTTAGTATTCTGGTCCATTTAGTGCTACTACTGATGGTCGGTCCGGCGGTGCCCGGACCCCGCCGGAGTTGGGCCCCCTTGGTTTCCTTTTGCGGCAAATGCAGCAATTAATCGACTTTTCCCAGCCCAGGGTATGACCGTTAGCGAGATGTCTAATATCTAAAATGTACTACGCGGCACGCTTAATCATCCCGTCCGATTAACTGATCTAGGGTATTTGCAGTTACAAGTCCTGGCTCTCGATGCCTAATTCCAAGTCAAGGCCTGTCGACTGAGAAAAGCACAATACAGACGAATACAATCAAGCTATTTTATTACTTATTTAGCTAGCAACTACCATGCTGTCCTGCTTGGACCATCATAGTGAGCACAGCTGAGGGTCACAGCTGTCACAGCAATCCACTTGACAGTGTACTGTTGTCCCTCTAGGCCCGCGATACTCTGTGTATAGCAACCATTTGGAGTCCAGCTACCCACATGTGTAATGTCAAAGTTAGTATTAATACAGTGATGCTAGCAAGGTCAGGATTCAGTCCACTTGTTTAAGACGTGGATTACCAGGACACGAAGTTACACTCAGCTGTCAGCGTCCGCCAATATCGTCCGTCGTGCTCGAGGTGAAATGAGAATATGTCCACCAATGCCATGGATATCTAGCTCGAGAAGGTGCAAAGCAGCGTATGCCTCCAGAAGAGGCTGCGTCCTGTTCAAGAAGTGCTGCTGCGACTCTGGGAGAAACTTGTAAAAACCCAACCAACCACACCGCAGAGTACTCATCTACTAACATATTCATCTTCCCGCATCCCTTCAGTCTTTTGCCCTACTGCCAGCAGTTCTCTACTACACAATGAAGGCCACCACCGTCATCCTTGCCCTCGTCAACACCGCCCTGGTCTTGGCTGCCTCTGACTCCGAGTTGTGCAGTAGCGTTGCCTGTGGAGATAGCGGAGGGTATCCCTTGTAAGGGCATATACCCATTCCTAAAAGTGATTGTGGTGTCTCGGGCACTTTCTGCCAATGTCGTGATGGTGGGACTCCTGACAACCAGACACGCTCCAGATAACTAATATGATATGATCTCCGGAAACTTCTATCTCTTTAACAAGCCACTCATGACTGCCAGCCTCCATGGGGCTACATTGGTCCCAAAATCTTCTCCGCCTGGATGGCGCTGCTAGATGCCCGGAAAGGGGTTATAGAGTCACGAGCTGGAATTATAATGTTGAACCGCCTGAAATATGACTGGTACACTTCATTGTGGCGTCCATTGGCAATGTATATAGCAGTTAGCATGACTATTCATTAACACTGTCTACAGATTCACGGTCAGGTCTGATAGCGAAGCTGGGCTACACTAAGTGATATTTCGTTAGCAGACGATTCGGACTGAACTTAATGAGCGTTTGATAGGGTCTCCTAAATCCTCTTCCTGGATTTGAGACTTATTCGGAGAGCCATAGGCATCCATTATCAACTCTGTTAGTACTGATACGAAGTGGAATAAATATATGCTTAATATACATTTACGTATTCAGATTCCCGGTAAGAATTGCCTTTCAGAATAGCCCCAATCATCTCCTGGTGTGTAAGCCCTAGTGTAGTGTTTTGTTCTTTACAAATACACCCGGAGACGCTGTTAGGGGGGAACTATACCCGGTTTTATTGTCAAGGAACCTGAACGATTGACCAAGTTTGGCTCTGCCGTATTTTGGAGGTCACTAAAATATATGGTATGGAATGACGGATCATCAGGTCAGGATGTCTCAGTAGGACTGCAACAACTCAGGTGTACCTACAATGCAGTTTCTAGGATGCTAGAGAGACTCCGAAAATCCTGAGAACGAGGAGCTTGCTTCAGAGTGTGTTTGAATGTATTATCACACAAGTTTACTGAGAACAGAGAGGCCGCAATGCGAGCCGCCAAGAACTATATAGTTATACTCCGTAGCTAGACTGTAGGGAGATGATCAAAGTTACGGCTGTACAGTGTCTCCGTAGATACTTAAAGCACTTAACACAACATCGAATCCAAAATGTCTGTGCGCATCATCTGCTGTCCCTTTCAAGACTCAGCCATCACTTCTGACACTCCCACATGAATATGCGACTACCAGTGATTGTCACAGCGCGAAACATAATCAATCTTAATCTGGCAAGCATCGCCCCTATTATCATCATCCTGAACATAGCCACAGATACGGCATCCATTTGCCCTGATGTTGCGGTACGCCGCCTGCATCTGCTCGGTAGACCTGTAGCAGCCCGGAGGCCCAGCAACAAAGACACCACAACCAAGACCAGAAGGAGCTCCCCAGCAGTTACCCGTGCGACCTCCACTAGAGACAGACAATGATGAGTCTGGTGCATAGCTTGGGGAAAGGAATAGTAAAGTCATACCTGGTGTCGAACATGAGACCTGGGAGCATCGTGTTCACGGCTTGGTCGCAGTAACCAATCATGCCTGGAAAATGGCCACACTGACTGGAGCCCGCGCAGCTGAAGATTGCGCTTGCGGCCTCCACTGCCAGCTCTTTGCCGAAGTGCGAGACAGCGGAGGTTTCGACGCTGTCCGCAGGCTCAGGGACGACAAAGGCTGATGCCAGGGTGGCACCAACAGCGACGGCTAGAGTAATGACTCTCATTTTCTCTCAGAAAGAGGAGCTTTTGTTTTGAGGAATGCTGGTTTGGTTATGATTAGGATGATTAGGACGATGAGCTCTGGAGGGTGTTTAAGGACCTTTTATAGACGAGTTGGCTGCGGATTATCTCCTGGTTATCTACATCCTTCTTTGGGGATGCATCCCGAATGCTACCTCAATATCTTAGTACTCATTTAATGTGTGCCAGAAACACGGCTACTGTCTGGTGTCTGCTTGCAGGGGTTCAGATATCAATCCAGTTGTATCCCATGTTCCTAAACAGTCTACTTTCCTTAGTCCTCATTCGAATATACACTATGCATAATAAAGGAAATTCGTAGGCTCATTACTCCGCTTCTCATTTCAGTACTAGCTATGATAGCTATGGCCAAGTGCACCCGCACGGTGTCTACATGTTAAGTCCACTATATGTGAAAACAATACTATACTGCGATTTAGCCTAGGGTAGCATTCAGTTGCCATGCATGACAGGGTGGTTTACTAGAACTAACTAATCACTACAAGCATGATTGGACATAGCCGATATTACTACTTATATTAACTAGAGATTGCACTAGTTAAACATCTCTAGGATGCTATCATTCATTTTAGTCTGATTGATACTATGTTGAACAACATAAAACTTCAACCCACTGGGAAGATTAGTGTGCTGATATAACAGCCGCAAGCTTAAGGGCACATTAGGCGGTTTTACAGCTTATCATTTTCAAAGCTGATAGAGCCTTATGTATCAGTAATAGGCCGTAGCTGTCGAATCAATCATACCTATTCCGGAAGCTGTAGAATTATAGCTAGGGCATTGTTGGCTGTGGAGGCTATCCAATCAAAGATGTGTTCACCCTAACCGATGATAATACACATTAGCAAGATAAATGTTTATGTAGCCTAGGCTAAATGGGTTAGGGTACACAAGGTGTACATGGCAGCTCAGCCGCTGGGGATAGTGCATAGACAGCGTCATTTAGCAGCACAAACCTTAGGAGAATTAAGCCTAGCGCCAGAGGGATACGAGGCACTCTTAATTTATATCCATCCAATCGGCGTTCAGCACGTCGATCATGTCAGGGAGCTCTTGATTTAGGGGTCCAGATGCATAAGAAGCTGATCTCGAAGGGCCCTCAGTGGTTTGCGCTTTTTCCTAAATATCTATAGCTCCTAACAGGGATGTTTAGTTCGCGCTCTTAGTCTACTGGCTACATCATTTATAAATCTACATGTCTCACTGCAAGCGCTATTTAATAGGACTAAAAACACGATGTAACAATGTGTTTTTGCCATGCCATACGATTGGCCATATACTATAGACTCAAAACATTCGCCGTGAGGCGCAGACGGCTCATGGCCCCATTGCACAGGGTTCTGCTGTAAGCGAGTCTGGGGTCCAGATGTTAGATATGGCGACGAGGCACACGGTACTCCACATACGGCGCACATTAGGTTATTCTGATTGATGGAAATACCAGATCATATCTAATGATATCTATCAGTCCTGTTGCTACACTTGGGGCTAAAGCTAATTAGTGTGCAGGCAGACACTGAGATGGCTCACCATACCCCTAGGGATTAGCAATGTCCCTACCCACATTTGTGTTTTTTGATCCTTTTCCTTCTTCTTCTTCTTCTTCTTCTTCTTCTCTATTGCTGTCCTTCAATTGCAAGTGATGAATTTTGTCCCTGGCAGTAGCATCTATCTCTCTTTGCTCCTAGCTACATAGCAAGCTATGCAGACATGGGCCGATGTCTCAGTACTCATCCCTGCCAACTACTCATTCTGGGCCTTGTCGCAGCTCTTGCTATTTCAATATGGACACTATGGCTAGGTGTCAACTCAGACAAAGACAACATCCATCCTTTACTTAACCAACTGATTCCTGCAGGCCATTGTGCTTGCCAGACTGCTACTATCTTTAAATGTGATAGCTGCCTCCAGTGCCCTGCCTCTGAATTACCTCAGAGCCCTTTACCTCCTCATGTCACCTTTGATCCGAATGAACACTCCTACAATGAGACACAATGCCAATCCTTCTTTCCTGGCTTGTTTGAAGATCCAACCCGCGCTCAGACATTCTGGCAGGCTAAGAATGGAATACGCAGGGCTGACCTTGACAATGTCCAAATGATAAATGGCATGGTTAGAGCTGCCGTATATAAAGGACGTCTGTATGTTATTAGCGCTCTCGCCAAGGGGGAAGACCACCGCCGCAAAATCATCGGAGTGCTGAGCTCCATCCATCGCGCCCTAATTTCAGCTCCGGAATCCACAGCTATCCCAGACACGGAGTTCATCTTCTCTATTGAGGACAAAGTGGAGGACGTTGCGGGGCCGGGCCACCCTCTCTGGGTTCTGGCGAGAAAGGCCGAAGAAAAATCTGTTTGGCTCATGCCAGATTTCGGCTTCTGGTCCTGGGGACATCTCGATAGCAAGATCGGGCCATACGACCAGGTGGTCGAGCATGTCCGACAGCGAGAAGTCCCCTGGGACCAGAAGAAGGATAAGCTGGTGTGGCGCGGGAAGCTCAGCTTCGCGCCGAAACTGCGGAGAACGCTGCTTGAGGTTGCGCGGGGCTACCCATGGGGCGATGCGAAGGAGGTGGAGTGGAAGAACAAGGCCAACTTTCTCAGCATGGAGGACCATTGCCATTACAAGTTTATCGCGCATGTAGAAGGGCGGTCGTATTCTGCGTCGCTTAAGTATCGCCAGGCGTGTGAGTCGGTTGTTATTATTCATAAACTGCAGTATATCCAGCATCACCACTATCTCCTTGTCTCATCGGGGCCACAGCAGAACTTTGTCCAGGTGGAAAGAGACTTCTCAGACTTGCCGCAGAAGATACAGGAGCTTCTGGATAATCCTGCTAAAGCTCAGCAAATTGCAAGTAATAGTGTGAATGTGTTTCGGGAACGATATCTGACACCAGCTGCTGACGCATGTTACTGGAGGGCCTTGCTGCAGGCGTGGGCTATGGCCTCTCCTGATCTCACTCCAAGGAGTGCTCCTCAGGATGGTCTCCGATATGAGTCATTCTTATTGCTCGGGGATAGCAATATGATGAAATTTGGGGGATGATACATGTACATAACTATATTAATCCAGCTACACTACTGAACTTGTAGGCCTTCGAAATCCATACCCTGTATAATCATTTGCTGCCTCACATAGTGACCGCAGAGTAGCCGATATTAGACAGGGTTGGCCACGTACGACCATTTGCACCAAACTATTCAACATGACCGAGATTTTTCGCAAGTGAGCGAACATTGACACGGTAGAATATCCAAAGGTCCATGAGGTGGCAGACGCCGGAGTCGCACCGCTCGCCAGAGAGATCAACAACTTTGTGGATAAGATTCTAGAAACAATCTTCCTCCACGCGCGGAATCCACGAAACATAATCCTCTCCTCTTTTACTCACGCGGTCTGCATTCTGTTGGCACTCAAGCAACGAGTGTATCCAGTGATGTTCATCACCAATGCTGGCAAGCCTCCAGTGGCGGGTTGGAGACAAGGGCGTCCAGTTTACTGTCTGCTGTTCGTTTTGCGAAGCGCTGGAGATTGTCTGGCATAGACTTTGCCTCTGAGACCCTGATCAGTTGTCCCGTACTCGTAGTATACGTCAAGCAATCGGGGTTGGTATGTGGGTCGTACGGACTGCAGAATAACATCCCGGAGAATACACGACTGTAAGCAATTTCATTCTCCGTTCAGATTGGAGCGGACGATTTACTGACGTTCTCTAAGGCGCAAGCAGCTGCTGGCATTGACATCCTAATGGCCGATAGAGTTAGACTGGTCTCAGGAGCCTTGAGAGACGGTGGCTATCTCTAGGGATTTTAGCCTTGCTATGTGTATCTGCTAACAAGCCATCTTATATCTCAAATCCAGAAGTGGATATGAGTGAACGTCTAGGCTACAAATTCAGGGCAAATTGCCGGCGGAGATGGCCTGGAAAACACAGGCCTATAAGTCCAGCGGTGATCTGTATGCAACAGTGTACCTGAATACACTGTGAGGGATCAGTATCAGTCTCGCTACGCGCCTGAGCTTGAGCGGTTCCATTGGACAAGTTCGCCTCGTCACATGCCATCCGAAGTGCCCAACTCCAAAATACACAGGCGTTTGACTCCTTCACACTGCGTCCTGACATTATTATTAAGTCAACTTTAGCATTCCAATGCCCACGTTTTTAGCGAATACACGACGTCGTTGAGCCCGTTGAGGAATATCGTCGAGGAGGCTACCATCCTCTCCACCTTCACGACATTTTCAACCAGAGGTACGAGGTTATCGTAAAATTGGCCTTTGGCCAATTCTCAACAGTATGGCTTGCACAAGATCAATTGTGAGTGCGCTCAGCACACGGTCTTTCCCAGAGGACAACTAACTGCTACAATGAAGGCTCCAGAAACAGGTTGCATGGAAGATCCTAAAAGCAGAAGCTTCGACGAACAACAGCGAGCTTACTATACTTCTTCGTTTATCAGGTTCCAACCTATAGCATCCTAGGAGAGGGCATATCATTGAACTGTTGATTACTTTCAGCATTATGGCCCGAATGGGACACATTTGTGCCTTGTTCTCCCCGTAATGGTTTCTGATGCCGCAGCAATGACTGTCAGCGGAAGACCGCACCAAGCAGCTGATATACGATCTATTTCTGAACAAATCCTGTCGGGTCTTGACTTCCTTCATGCGCTAGGTATCATTCACTGTGGTACGTCGTCACCCTAGCCATAGATTCAGTAGTCTCCTGATGTTAGTGCAGACTTACAACCCGCAAATATCCTATTCTCAATGGTCGGGGTTGAGGACTGTGAAATACAGTACAGCCTCCAAAGTTAAGTCACGTTAGCTGGCTAGAAGGGACAATAGTCGATGATAGCGCGCCTCAGTATCTAATGCCTACACAGAGACCTCGAGGCCAACTGGATGATGCAGATTTCTCCAAGCTCTGTGTTAAGATTTGTGACCTTGGTGGGGTATGATCCATCCTTGTTATATCAGATTTGAATATGTTTAACAACTCATTCACTAGCTGTATGGGATGGACAGCACGAGCAAAAGCCAGTAACACCAACAGCCTTGCGCGCACCTGAGCTAATCCGCCGAAATACTTGGGATGCAGGGATTGATATATGGGCATTGGGTGTCATTGTAGACTGTGTCACTTGTCTGTCTTTATCTGACCATCTGAACCACCATTCCATGCTCTTATATATATATACTTGGACTGCTATTTAGATACACCAAATCATGCGTCTGGCTACTCATTGTGAAGTCTCACCCTTGGAACCATCAACCAGGAGATCCCCGTGGCACCTAGTAGCCCCACTAGAATCGGCTGTAATACTTTGACTCCAGCATGAGCTGCCAGAATGCCAGTGACGGCTGGAAAGATCGATCCTCCCACCTGGCCAAGCACGAACACCAAAGCTTTGATTATTGGTCAGCGAGACTCTACATACGTAATAAATGTGCATACCGAGTGCAGACGAGCGAATTTCCGCTGAGAAGATCTTGGACGCAACAGATATGCCTGTGGCGAAAAAGGGACCGGAAAAGAACCCAAAAAGACTGATGGCTACTGCTTCCGTGATGATATTCGGCACCCTATCCGATCAGCGAATGCCATCACGTAGGAGGTAACACGTACAGCCAGAATATCAGCTGCAAACCAACGCACAACACGACATAGATAAAGATCATGCGTCGCTCCCCCCAGCGGTAGGTTGGCTCAGCTAGGATGAGTCGACCAAGGAAGGCTCCACCATAAAAGCCAGCAGGAACATAGCCCATATCCTTGAGATCTCCGTCTCGCACATCGACGAGGTATTCCACAATCCATCCTATTCAATCAGTATTGTCTCAAACATAGGGAACAACACGTACCACCAGCGGTAATGGCAGCCCCGAGAAAGAAGAAGAAATACAGGCTCAACAACCACACACTTGGCGTGCGAAGAGTCCGCTTCATCTCCCGCAGACCCCCCTTCCTTGTCTCCTGAGAGGATTGACCAGACTGCTGCATCAACCTCAACGAATCCCTAAACGCAACCACCACAAGAATCAGGTTGATCACGCCTAGTCCCAACGGCGCAACATAGAACAGATTCCAATGCGAATGCACACCCGCCGAAGCCGCGGCCGTCGAGACAAACGGGCCTACCAGACACCCGGCCATGTACATGGCATGAATAAACCCCAGCCATCGATGCGCGGCTTTGACAGAGGCCACAAACGTGTTGGCGTGTGTATCCTGATATGCCTGGCCGAGACTCGCAAAGAAGAAGGTTACGGCGAACAATGGAAACGGAGGAAGCCAGGTCCGTAAGGCGTGCGCCAGAACTTGGAGAACGGCCCCCAGAACCAGGAGGACGCCCAGATCAAGGTACTGGCAGAGATGGCTGTTGGAGAGCGCGGCGAAAAGCCAGCCGCAGAATGTCGTGCCGTATCTGTCTGCTGTTATTAAGGACATTCAAAGACAAGACGAGAACGTACACTACAGCGACGAGATTTGTGTCGATATGATATCCTTGACGGATATAAGGGATCAGAGATCCGAGACTGCCATCGTTGATGCCGGCTACGAAGAACGAGAAACCGGCGCTGACGAGTTTAAGATAAAGTCTGGGGGCTTGAGGATAAGGCGTCTCTACTTCAAGTGGCTCCATGGTGTACGAAGTTGGAGAGTGTAAGCATCTTCCTCTCACTGGAAGATCCACCACGCTATATATATGCTGCCTATGCTCAGTTAGGCAGGTCGCCCAACTACACGACTTGCCCAATCAGGTAAACCAGCCAGCAGGACACATCTCGAAAATCATCAGGAGAGCATTGTCTATCGTCATCAAGCAAATAGGCCAAAATGACACATTGCTTATTTTGAGGCACCTATTCATTTAATCCTATTTAGGAATAGTGATATGCCTCGACTGCGAGTGTTTTGACGTCAGTATAAGCGAGACTGGACCATCTACAAGCATGCTAAGAGATTACATACAGTCTTTAAGAATACAAACATCTCTTTAGAAGAGCCATGGCCTTCAGTATATCAGGTTTAGACGCTCTTCTGCGCCGTCCAGAGCAAGAAAGCATCTGGAGCCGCTTGCTCAGGGGCCCGGTGCCTGTTCTTGCGCAACTTGTTTACGCCCGATTCGCTCAAACGCCCATGCCCACGCACACTGATGACGGCCCGACCATCCGCGTCGTTTGCATCTCAGACACCCACAACACCCAGCCTCCCCTACCAGACGGGGATCTCCTCATCCACGCAGGTGATCTCACCCAGTCCGGGACTCAAGCCGAGCTAGAAGCACAGATCGACTGGCTCGATCGCCAGCCCCATCGCTACAAGGTAGCGATCGCTGGGAATCACGAGCTGTGTCTGGATCCCAACGCTCAAGCTAAAGCACCTGGTCGCAATGAGCCAGTCGACTGGAAATCGATCCGGTATCTGGAGAACTCATCGACAATCCTCGACTTTGGTTGCAGACGCGTCAAGATATTTGGGTCCCCGTACACCCCGCGGCACGGGAACTGGGCTTTCCAGTATCCGCGTAATGAGAATATTTGGGATGAGATACGGATCCCGGATGACATTGATATTCTGATTACGCATGGTCCTCCGAAAACGCATTTAGATTTGGGACAGTATGGTTGTAAATTCCTCCGGGACTGGTTGTGGTCAGCCAAACAGAAGCCTTTCTTACATGTGTTCGGTCATGTCCATGGGGCATATGGGAAGGAGACTCTGTGCTGGGACGAATTTCAGCAAGCGTACGAGAGCATCATGGATAATGAAGCAAAGTGGATGAATTTGATCTTGCTACTGTGGCATGCACTTCTACTACTTATACGCCCGAGGGATCCATGCGAAAGAACTGTGACGGTGAATGCCGCTGCAGTTGGCGGACTCCGCGACGAAAAGAGCCGGGACGCTATTTGTGTTGATATCTAACCATCAACATCAATGATACTACAGCTAGCGCTCATCAACAGTATCCGGCCAATAATACGCACCCCGATCCAGCGCCCTCTTCAATCTCGGATCGACCCTAACATACCCCGCCTTTTTCAACCCCGCAAAAACCCCCTCGATCAACTCGGCCACCATTCCCCCGAACACGATACTGCCCTCCGCATTCAGATGTGTCCGGTCCTCCGGATTAAGGTTATACGTGTACGCCTTCTCGGGCCCAATCCTATTCAGATACAGCGTACTCGCACCATTCAAATCGATGTACGCCGCATGCGAATTCTTCGCCGCCGCGATAGTCGCCGCGCGCTGGTCCGCCAGACTCAGGATTATAGTAGGCTCGCCGGTGATGTTGGAAGTCTCGTAATTCCGGCGTGAAAGCGGGGTCACGAGGATAGGCGTCGCGCCTGCATCACGCGCCTCGCAGATGAATCGCTCGAGGTTGCGGGTGTACTCCGCGAGGGAAATATTGGCCGCGGGTTTCTGGTCATTGTGTCCGAACTGGATGGTCACGAAAGGCGAGTAGCGGTCCTTGTACTCGGCTACTTTGGCGAGAACCGTGGCCCAGTCGCCTCCCGCGCGGAAGCTGACGGTCGTGGCGCCGTTGTGGCCGTAGTTGAGGCCACTGGCGCCGTGGAAGAGGGCCGTGTTGAGGAATCCGTCGCCCCAGCCGCCGCCGTTGGAGGATTGTTTGGCTGTTGTGCTGTCGCCAGCTAAGAGGAAGAAGGGTGGTTTTGGGGAGTGACCTGGGGTCGGCAGGGCGCAGAGGGGGAGGATGAAGAACGAAAGGAGAGGAAGACGCATTGTGACCTTTGGGGACTATACTGGTAGACGAATGTCATTTTGCGTGAACTTCAGAGCATCTTATATCTGAATCTAGGATAGGACTCGGGATAATGCCAATGGAACCGCAGTGTTTCCACCAACTGGAAAATTACAGTAACTGCAGTCAATTTGCAGCCAGGTGACATCCTGCCATTCATCATGCAGTATTCGAGCCGTAACGATATTGGGGACTGAAGGATTCCGCAAATGAACATCGACCCTTCTCGGTGGTTAACAGTCCGGAGTACATATAATGACGCAGAGGGTCTTGGATACAGAGTTTACTGTCTCTGGAGTCTGCCGGAGGGATCGACAGAACGGCCAAATGGAATTTAAAGAAAGTAAGAAGCTAGTACAGTGCTTCCAGCGTAACACCTGCGGTTGCAGTAGAGGGATGTCTAATGAATCTAATTTATGCTTTTATTTGGCAGTTAGATGCATAGCGATCAATTACTGGCCCCTTCTGCCAAACAGCAGAAGTCAGTACTTCGAATATGGAAAGCGCAACATAAATCTGGCATTCACAATCTTGGTGTTTCCATCCTGGTCACGGGACTACGTTGGGAAGGAAAGGATATACCCAAACTTCTTCCCTTATTCAACCCACGTCATCAAGAATCAACCATCAGTATCTGGATGGGGGATGAAGGGACGCTCACGCTCTTGAAATGTTACGTTCCCTACGTTGAGATGTCGAGCAAGAGGATCTAGATCCGCTACTCCAGGTACGGCATTCGCCATGGTCAATATGCGGTGCCGCGGTCTTACCTGTCCAGATTTCAAGATTTTGACGGGGAAAACATTCATACAAGGCAAGGAAAGTCATTGAACATCACCGGTCAATACAAAATGATTTCAGATCAACAGATGGCGACAACGTTGCACTGCTTTGTATCATCATCATCACTAGGACGATTTCAATGTGCTCGCCTCCTCGGTCCCGATATACGGAACCCGATAGATATCAGGTGCCGGGGGCAGGCCATCGTGCTTGTAGTCTCGAGGTGAGTTGATGAACTCTTCTAAAACCAGCTGCCGGGAGGGTTCCGGAATCCCTATATCCTTCTCATCAGCCCGGCGCAAAGTGAGGAACATGCAGGAAATCCACGCACGGTCTAGAAGAGCTTGATGCCCCATGAACGACATGCCTAGGGACTCTCCACCGGAAGTATGCCAATCTATAAAGAACAATCAGCCCTCTATCTGTTCCGATGAATCAAGAGACACATAGTACACACGGCTGGCCTCGTGGCGGTCGCGCAGTTTGGCAGTCGCGAATTCGAAGTGACACTCATTGCAGCGCCATTTCGGATACGGCAGATGCCGTCGATCCAGAGCACTGAAATTCTCCCGGAGTACAAGACCCCCCGGAGCAAGGTTGTCGCGCTGGAGACTATGGGTGACGATCTCGATCACTGTGTTATCTTCCAGATCTTCCAGCTTCTTGGGTTCTTTGTCCTTTGTGGGTGTGTTGTTTTGATTCCGTGACATATTGCCGGGATTTGGAAAACTACCTTCAGGAGGAAAGGATCAGGCCTCGAGAGAGGACACGGCGCAATTATATTGGAGGAGGAATGGCGACACGGAACACTTTATACGAGGTCAAGCGTTTAGCGCGGGGCGCGAGGCTGAATCCCGCACGAGGCTGTGGGAGACTAGACTGGCTTATGGAAAAGACTCATCTGATTTGAGTAAAGGGCTCCGAAGGCTGTTAAACCTCAAGCGACGAGAAATGACGAGGTCTTTTCTTGGTTTTTCCTTGGCCGTCAAAGATCGGCAGATGAGGCTGAGTTCTTACGGCCTATATAAGATGATTTTCTCCCCGACTGCAGCCGTCCTCCCGTGCACCTAGTCATCAACTACATAGTTTAATCCATCATGGTCGAACCCAAGCGTGCTGACCCGGCTTTGACGGATGCCCTCAGCGAGTTTGCCCAAGCTGCGGGCCTCCAAGGGGGTATAGCACCGGCATCAGCCTCTGAAGTCTTCCAGGTCGTGGAGGACGCCAACCGCAAGTTTCAGTCCTCGTCCCCCAAGTCTATCAAGTTTTCGCAGAAGTTATCACCATGTCTCGAGTCAATCAACCGGTTTTCGTCCGTCATAGACACATTCATCCAGTCGAATCCCACCATCTCCGGTTTAGTCTGGGGTAGTCTCAAATTCCTGCTGCAGGTTCGTTCCCACCGGACTGTCCTGGTCCCAGTAAGAGACAGATGTTGAAGCGCCTAGGGAGCACTGCAATTTACCTCCTACCTCGAAAGGCTGGGCGAAATGTTTGAAGAACTTGGCCAATTCTTTCCGGTCGTTTCTGAATATGAAACGATCTTCGAGAGCTCTTATACGGTCCGAGCTGCGGTGTTGCATCTGTACACGGATGTCGTCCACTTCTTCACTCGAGCAGTGAAGTTTCTGAAGAGAAAACGTACGCAAGACTGACGAGTCGGACTGACTGTACGATACTGACTGAGAATGCGTCGGTAGCAAGGGATCTCATCTTTCGGACACTCGTGAAACCGTTTGAGCATGACTACGCGCAGATCCTTAAGAGCTACCAGACTCACCGCAACGAGCTGCAGATAGTGGCACTCGCTGCGATGGAGAGGAATGCCAGGAAGGAGCGGGAAATGGCGGAGATTGCTCGCAACGCGGCCGAAGAGGAACGAAAGCGTGCCGAAAAGGAGAGAGTCGCCGCGGAAAATGAGCGCAAAGAGGCGGCAGCTGAGAGACAACGCGCCGAGCAAGCGAGGACAGACATTCGCGAAGAAATCAAACGGCAGGAAGCGCACAGGAAGGAGGCGTCGCGGGCCCGAGAAGAGGTCCGGGAGGAGACCAAAAACCAGGAGGTCCACCGGACGGTGGTTCAGGGACAACTGAAAGGTAAAATCAGAGCCCTTGCTAGATGCAACCCTACGACTGATACATCTATCTCATTTGGTAGGCCTGGAATCAGATTCGATGATGCGGTGGTTGGATACCCCAGACTATGAAAGTATGCTAAGTCAGATGGTCAGGCAACGCCAGGAAGATACTGTTCTCTGGATTGAGAGACATCCTAAGTATCTCTCCTGGAGACAATATGCCAACTGGACGCGTGACATTCTATGGATATATGGCGGTCCTGGTATGGGCAAGACCATTCTAGCAGCGACCATCGTTGAGGACCTTAGGCGCCTTCACGTCGCGCAGAGTCCTCATCAAACAACTAAGAGATACGCCGTGTGTTTCTTTTTCTTCGATTCGAGCAACGTCTTTGAGCAGCCGGAAGTGGTAATGCTCCGAGCCCTCGTAGCACAGCTGCTGCATCAGGCCGACAAGCCCGACCCTCTCAACCAAATTTATCTTGCACGACGCTCGGCGCATGCGTCACTGACAGAGCTCAGAGAAGCATTCTCGACCCTGGCGAGCGACTGCTCGGGTGTCTATGTTGTTATTGATGGACTAGACGATGCGGCGAACGCCAGTGATGCCCTGCAGCTTTTGCTCACTCTCTTGGTCCAGGTGTCACCCGTCATGAAGCTGCTGGTCACCAGCCGTCCTGAGCCCGACATTCGGCGCTTCTTTCATTCCCATCCGCAGTTTGAGCTGACAGAGGATATCACACAACCGGATGTGCGACGAGTCGTCAGGACTCGCGTCCAGTCAGCGTGCGAGGACAAGAAGATCAGAGCTTCTGACCCTAACCTTCGGCAGGAGATTGTCGACGCCCTCGTCTCAAGTAGCTCCGGAGTGTAAGTGGTTTCAGCGCAACGTTCATTCGGTCAATGGAGCTGACGAGCAGCTGTATGCTAGATTCCTCTGGGCGACAATGCAGGTGAGGCACCTCCAGACTCTTCGTGTGCAGACTGATCGGACTCTACGCGCCGCTGTCCGCAATCTGCCCAGTGGTGTTGCAGATATCTATGGTCGCATCCTAGCCAAGATAAACTCCTACGCGGAGGAAGATCGCCTGCTGGCCGAGGAGCTTCTCCGCTGGGTTGTCTGCGCCAGACGACCGCTGAACGTCTCCGAACTGTGCTGCGCGCTTGCCATCGACATCGGAGACGAGGAACTAAACTTGGATAACGTCCCGACCAACACGAGTGAGATCGTAGACGCCTGCAGCCCTCTGCTCTCCATCGGCGACAAGGGGACTGTTAGCCTGGTTCACTCAACGGTGGCACAGTTTCTTCTGGACCCTTCCAACAAAGCATCTGTCCCTGTGGGTACCGACCGATACTTCATCGAGCAGACAGAAGCTCATACCATGCTGGCGGAAAAGTGTATATCATATTTGTCTCTGCTTTCCTTTCGCAATCGGATCTCCGGGTCGCAGACTTTAGCGAAGATCACAAACCAGGAAATCCACGCGTTTCCTTTGCTGGAATACGCCGCGTTAAATTGGTGGAAGCATGTCGCTCACTCCAGCGTCTCGAAGAGCTCGGCAAAGAGGCTTGTGGATCTGATGTTCAACTTCGCCAAATCTAGTCAGGGCCTGACTTGGCTCGAGGTGTCCATCACCTTGTCGCTCTCCCTGGAACATTTACACACCGTATCGACGCAACTGCGTGCCTGGTTACGCCGGCTGGAGTTTGACCATGAACATATCAACGACCTCAAGCTGTGGTTGGAGGGCCTCGTAGATCTCACACGCGTCTGGGATTCCATCCTAAGAGAATCCCCCTTTGAGCTGAGATCTACCGTTAAGAAGTTTAGTACCGAGGGGCAGTTCTTCCAGAAGCATTTCGGCTCGGACTTTATCGGTGACATCCGGCCACCCCCTGCCTCGTTGCGGCGAACTAATACGAATACCACCGTGGCAGAGGGAAACACATTCGATATTCTGATCGACGACGAGGAAGGCTATGTCCTGCATCCGTCGGGAAAGCTTCGCTTCCAGTTCACCTGGGATATCATGCAAAGTAATGGAACCAACTCACTTAGGTACACTATCTACTCCGAAAGCCCGATCACAAGGAGGCAGTTCAAGAAGGTCGAATTTGCCCACGAAATATCCTGGAAGCTCCCACAGGACTTCCAACTCGGACTGCATTCAGTGGCCTTTAGCCCTGATTGGGATTACATGGCTATCGCTACGGTCGAGTCCGTGAGAGGGCTGCGTACGGGCCGCCGAGATGAGAGCAAAACCACCATCCGCGTTTTCCTCTGGCGGGTGAGAGACCTCGATGAACCCGGCGAAGAAATGCTTTTCGACCTCCCCTGGATATTACCTACCAAGGGCAGTGACGGGAGTGTTTACAGCGGCTACGTTGGTCAAGGCCAGTATGATTCCTTCCGGGGCTCTCGATGCGCAGTTGCCTTCCGGAAAGTCAAATCCACCCTCTATCTGCAGACCCCGTTCGGAGCGGTGGATGTAGAAACAGGTGCTTCCCTAGAACATTCTCGGTATCTTCAAAGTGTCGTAACCCAACCCACTGTTGCTCAATGCACATTCAGCCCCGATGGGCGTCGAATCGCGATGGTCAGGAACCATTCAGACTTCGAAATTGCCAATATCGATGGGTCCAACGTCTGCGCCACGAAGCTGATGGGGGAGATATGTGAGATCCTGTCCATTAGCAGGACAGGTCGATATGTAGCGATCTGCCTCAACCAGCCTGCCACGTCGTCGCAGCTAAGCCAGTCGCGCCTTGTCATTCTCGACACAGTCACCAATACACTCCAGGTCCTACTGACCGGAACTCAGGAACGACGGTTTGATGAGGTGACTTTTAAGCTCCGTGGCTGGCTATCGTGGTCTCAATGGGCCGCCCAGGGACGGTACGTGAAGTACATGCCCAAGGGACTGGCCCCCGTTCGGCCAGATAGGCACTGCATTCAAGTTTATTCCGTCTTCAACTGGCTAGTTGGCGGAGCCTCCAGTGAGCTGTACATCGAACCCGACATTGACTATCTGCTGGACCCTCAGGAGCAGCGTTGGGATTTAGTGCAGCCTGCGGCTGTCAAGAGAGAACTGCCACCCTCATCCAGTGCGACCTATCTATTCTCAGATTGGACCATTCGTCTCTCGGATAGCTCGTTTGTTTTATCCGTGGGCTTCTCGCCGCAAGATGAGCACTGCTGTCTTCTCACGTCCAAGCAGACAATCCTTCTTCCTAGCTCGCTGCAGCCATCGTCCCTGACCTATGCGCCCCCTACAGCTGGTAAACAGCAGAAAACCACATACCGGACGTATACTCGTCTGTTTGACCACAACAAAAAGCTTGGTTGCTTTCAGCTAGCCTACCAGTAAGTTGGCCTACCCTGCTCGCCTGACAACCCGCTCACCAGCTGCAGTGGCACGGAAGGACGCTGGATGGATTATCTGGACTACAAGACGCACGACATTGCCAAGAGCATCACTGCCCGTGTGTACATATGGGATCTCTGCGGCACGCCAAGGCTCGTCCGTGACCAGCTTCTGCAACTGGATGAGGTTGAAATCAACATGCTTCGGTACGAACAATACCGCCGGCTGGATGTGGCTTTCCACCCTGCCTGTGATCGCATGGCAATCTTCAACGTAGTATACAACCTCGACCGGGTCACCAGCAGCAGCGTAGAATACCAGATATACCATGAGACGAACAAGTTCCATCCGGATATCGCAGCCGGACGCACGAACAACGCCTGGCAGGTATCCTTCAATCCGGACGGCAGATACATTGCGTTTGCCGTCACGGCGAGTACCCGGACCCCAGGACTCTTTGGAAAACGAGGAGAGATCACCAATGCTGTGGTGATTTTCAAGACAGACAAGCCCAGTATGCCGTTATGCTCGCAGATATCGAGCCACAAGGGCGACACTCTCGCCATGGGTTCGTGTTCTGTTACATTTCACCCCACGGATAGGAAGCTACTCTGGACATCAATGTTTGTGTTCACCGACGCTACGACCAAGACAACCACAAAGCTACTGGACTTCAGTCACGAGCCCTACGAGACGTCCTTTATCACAGGTAAGTCCTCTGCCCTTCACCAATCGGGCTCTAACTGATAATCTCAGACCTCAAATACGACGAATTCAAGTTCATCCCCACGCCCTCCGGAGACCAGATCTACGGCCACCCCTCCCAAGCCGGCCACCCCGGCTTCTGGGACCGTCTCGACACAAACACACACACACCGCAGCCAACTAACCTCCTCGAACCCGGTAAAATCCAGCTCACCGGCCTGGCACACAACACTCGACACATCACCGGGATCATTGCGGCCCCCGCTCCAGCGAGCTCGGCCTCCGCTGGGCCAATATCCACATTCCCATTCACCAAGAAGACCATTCTCCAACTACCCCCTTCTACCCACCTCCACCAGAACAGCGCGCGAGTCGTCCAGCGAGCGAATGACTACCTCGTCATCCTCCTCTTCCAGGACGGCCCCGTCCACTTGAACAACACCAACACCCGCCGGAGCGCGAGCGCGAGCACAAGCACGAGCGAGACCGACACCGAGAACCTCATCAAACCCATCCTGATCCCCGTAGACGCGAAGGAGCTCGCCGCGCGACCCGTCTCGCCGCTCAAGGCACGCGACGTCGATGATATCCACCCTCTACTCGCTATGCCCCATGGAAGTTGAAAACTGTTCTGCTGGGTCTCTGTCCATGAGTAGACTCTACCTACTCCGGTATCCGTGAACGAACAGACAGATACTGAAATGCCGTGTCATGCGTTGGTTCAGATACATGGCAAATACCGACACAGTAACTTGAGCACATGAAACAGAAACAAGACTAGACAGTTCCTCGAGCTGTGAGCTGCGAGCATCAAGATCAAGCAGACATCCCGCCCCGAATCTCATTGTCGTCTCGCATCATCGACGTCGAAAATGAACCAATCAAGAGACCGAGACGACGGTCAACCGATTTCTTCCCGTTTCCATTTCTTATGGGAATTGGAGTACTTGAATTTTTTTGATGGTGACCTATGACCTCTTTTTGCTTATGCGCGTCTAATCTTCTGGTTTGGTTGCAGAGGACGTTGCGTGCCTTGGGGCGGTTGCCCAGTGCAACTTCAGCTCAACATCTGTACAGGCAATGGAGTCTTTGATGCATGCGGCAGACTACACATTCATCTGGGAACCAGGACTGGAAAGTTTAATTTATAGTTTTGGTCTTAACACTCCCTTATCTATACTTTCTAAGAGACATCGTCGTGGGCGTTCACGTGAAAATATATGTACCTCTATATATATATATATATGTAGGATTGAAGTCTAACAGGACATCCCAATAGTATATCCCCAATTCTCCTGTAGTCGTCTAGCACAATACATTCTTAAAAGTATCACATTAACATTGAACTGCTATGTACAACAAATACATGGGGTATGGACACACAAAAGATAATCAAGGCGAGTCCCATCATGTCTTCAAGATTCCCTTTTCTTTCCGTCCTTGTCTTTTGGCCGTGGAAACAATACTAGCTGAACTGGGTATCTCTGTTCCATCACGTTGCCCTCGTAAATTCCATGAAAAAAAACATATCGGGTATGAAAAATGGCTCGCCTGTTCGCGGTAGTAGGCAAGAACAGCAGTAATGGCGTGGGGGGGCAATTTTCAATCATGATGAAGACGGGGGATTGCGTATGGGAAATGGTATAGCAGCGCAGTCGTAGGTAAGAAATAATGCAACAGGAAGAAATCAAATCACACATGCCCAAGTCTCCGTCGTCAATAAATCATAGTTACCATAAAGATTCGACCATCGAAGCTAGCCTCTAGTTCCGTCGAATGTCAACAGCGTTTGACGTGACGCAGTTGGCCAAATTCGTCTCAACGGGGAGACGCCTGTCGAGACATACGTGCAGCCAACAGCGGCTGGTGATGCTCTCATCATCGATTCGTGATCGAAGAGCGCCGATAAATCCCGTTATTCGCCAGCCGACCTTTTGTTCTATAATGCCCGTTTATCATATACGCCTCGAATATTTCCTCCGCGCCGAACGTCCATAAGCAAGAGCAGACACCGAGCACATGAATTATACGCTAATTCACTCCGATTGCCGAGTTCTCGGCTCGCTCTTTCAATCGCATAGCTTGTGCTTCAAGAGACCGTGCCATCAGCTTCGTCACTAATACGATGTTAGCCATGTGCAACAAAAGTGATTAAAGGGCCCAACAAACCTGGCCAGACTGCAGCTCTATCAAGGAGGCTTGCTGTCGCGATCAAGATCTTGCAGCCATAACCTCCTTCAACGACGCTAGGCAGCCGTTGCAGAACGCTCAATGTGGACACCGTAGTGTTCGTCTGCACGTCCCGCTGCATTTTGCTCTCCACACTCAAGAGAATTTCCCTGATCTTTTCCAAAAGCTTGCAATCTTCCTCTTCGAGCAGCATGACGTTCATGGCATGAGCGAGGTCAACATCGTCACGCCCGAGCACACCCAAGTAGGGACCAACCCGTTCTTGAACGGTCGTGATCCATTCCGCCAGTACTTGCGCACAGTCAAAAGCACACATGGCGGACTGCAGAGGTAGTTCCCTGCATGTGAACTCGGCAAATGTGTTACCGAGTCGGTCAGACATGGTGATTGAATCCGCCGCATAGAAGGCAGCCTTGCGCAAGTGCTTCTCGCGTTTGGACTGTCCAGGCCGGTAGACACCCATCAAGATCTGCATGGGTTGCTCCCGAGTCGGAGTCTTGGAGATAGTAAGATGTCCGACACCCAGGTCGGCCACGGAATCGCGACGATGATCTAACTCACTTGGCACCTGAGTGATCGAGGGGTCCAAAACGTCCGAAGGAATGTCGTCCGAATACGGGAACACTTCGGTGCCGCGGGCCAACTCGTCAGACATGGCAATCCAGTCCCTCTGCCAAAAAGCTTCCTTGCTCCGTCCAAGATTTACAAACAGCCTGATGTAGGCCAGATCCAACAGTGGAATGCTATCGGCTGAGAGAGGGCCAGCTCCAAATGGATTAGGCCGCTCCAGACTATGCATAGGGTTACTGGCCCACGCGGTTTGCCACGCCCGCAACGCCGGCTCAATGTGCGCTTGCATAGCGTCTGTCTCGCGAGCGGTCCACTGCCGGCCCATGTGCCGTTGCCGCGTCTCCCAAATATAGTTATGAAGAGCATAAATCAGTACGAGGCAACCAAAGGTACTAGGCTTCAGATCAGTGGTGGTTGAATCCGACGTTGGACCGTTTATCGGATGGGTTGAGGACGATTGCGCGTGAGATTGTTCGCGCTGACTGGCTGTCAGGAGCGTGGTCAATGCAGACGAGAATGTCAGGCCCTTCTTCACTGACAAATGGCCACCCATTTTCTTCCAAGCTTGAGGGGACTCGGCTGCCCAAATATCCTCCTCACACGGTAGGTCAAGGCGGATTTCTGAGTTGGTAAGCGCCGGTGCATGGTTATAGGCCGAGACGAGGAAACAGGAGAGGGTGAAAATCGCATAGAGTGTCCGCTTGCGCTCCTCCACAATCTTCCAATCCAACCAGTCTTTTCTCTCCTTTGGAGGCCCGAATGACGCGGTATTGGTGTCTTCTGATTCAGAACTCGCACCTCTGGGACCCACTTTACCACCCAAATGGGCGTTCAGGTAATCCTGGGGAAGGTCTTTGGCATCGATATGATGGGTCAACCCAGCGGCGCGAGCGAGGCTAACCAGAGCAGCACAGTGAGTGCTTGCGATGTCCGCTGACGTCTTATCGCCGGAGGAATGTCCGTAGATTACGTTGAGCAGCATCGCCTGGACCAGCCACAGCGGCGTGTTGTGAACCGAGTTCTCGCGGGCGGGATTGGAGCGCGAAAATGCAGCAGACATGTCAGCTTTTCGACGCTCCTCGAGATATAGTTGGATCATCTTCTTCGCTGCTTCAAAAAGATCTTTCGAGGCGGCGGTGTCAAATTCGTAGAGAGCGCCGATGGCTGCCATGGAAAGGATCAGGCAGCCTCCGCCGCCGGCGATACCGGTAGAGCTCAAGTTCAGGTGGCCGCTTGGAGTACGAAGGTTATTTGTGTATTCGGGGGCTTGGAAGTTGAGTGTCGGAATATGAAGGAACGGCATATGGGGGTGGAAATACGTGATGTAGGCCGAGATATAACGCTGCATGTCTTGAGTGCTGGGGAGTTGGCCGGTACCGTTGAAGTTGGCGGAACGTGAAAACAGGTCGCGACAGGGCATCATTCCGCTGGCTGGCTGGGAATACTTGCGATGATTATGGACACCGGTGGGCAAAGCCATGCTGGCTAATAATGCCTGTCGTGTGGAGTCTGTAAAGGTATCGGTTGAGGTTGAGGCATGGTGAGATCGTAGGGCACTGTTCGTGAAAGGCAGGTTGAGAGGATTAGGAGATTCACCGTTTGTTGCCATAGAAGATGAAAACATACTCTGGGAATGTCCTGCCATCAAGGGCTGGCCCACCGACGTCATGGATGGGGGAGTAGCATAGGTCTCAGCAAACGGGTTCTGCGCCATCAGCGACTTGGGTGACACGGTCTCGGGAGGGATGCCTAGATCGTTAAGGGTCGGAGAGGAGTACTCCATGGCGAACTGATTTGCCGGACCCGCCGAGTGTGGCGGGAAAGGGTTATGCCAGCCGGAAGACGAGATCGAGAACCGATTGGTTCCATCCATCACGGCCTCGCTGATGCCACTTTGGCTGCCAGTACTCATGGCGGAGGGAGACGACTCATCGATCGCGGAGTCGTTGCTCTGACCCAGGGACGGCATGGAGGGATCGAAACCGTTCATCCAGTCGAAGCTGAAGTCTTCCTCCAACATGGGATCAGTGGGGGGTTGCACCTGATGAGAGCCATGACTGAAGGGGGAAGACGGCGAGTCATTTCCGTAACCTTGTGGAGAACCACCAAAGTGGAGCTGCGCCGGATTAATGGTAGTGCCATGGTTCATGAAAATGTCCCCCATGCTCAGATCAAAGCTGCCATACACAGGAGCGGTGCGAAGCCCACCGGAAAGATCCATGGGCAGGCCATGAGTTTCCAGCTTGGGAAGGCTGCTAGCATAGGGATGACTTGAGCTGTACCCGCGATGAAAATCGATATTCGGACCCATGGATATTGAACCCATGCTGGGATGATGAGCGTGTCCTGGGTGGCCTGTACCGGTTACTGAGTGATTGGGGTCGTTGTTGGCCATGCCTAGAGAAGCTCCATCAATGTGACTGATGGTATTGGCTCGAGGACGAATGCTATTCGAGTTGCTCGCAATGGAGTTTTTGCGGACGCGATTCGCTCCAGTACCAGCAGCTCCGGTGCTTTCTCTCCGAGCATTTCTGGGGCGCGAAGACGGGGTCGTGGTCATGTGCAGTTTCTGCTGATGTCTCAAAAGAAGATCCCGGCGAGCAAAGCACCGGGAACAGTCGGGGCACTCGAATGGCTTCTCCTTCGTGTGCGACCGCTCATGGCGCTTCAGATGTTCTAGCCGAGCAAATGATCGCCCGCAAGTGGTACAGACATGTGGTCGGGGCTTGTCAGTTTTGGGAGGAGGGATATTCGTATTGGCACCAGTTTGGCCGTTCGTATCGGGCTTCTTGGTGGTATCCTTGGAGGTAGGCGCTGACGATCACACTCGCGTTAGAAGTAGGGTTAGGGATGGGAGAACCTG